CATGTTTTCACCCGACCCCTCCCCTATGTTGGAACTGCCCAATTCCACCAACCAGATTTCCGGAAACCTACTGGGAATCTCCAACGAAGCGTCGCCGAACACAAGCTGCCCGCGCACCCCACCAAATAGTTTCATCGACTCGACACTAAACAACCAGAACTTTGAGCAAATGAAGTTCACTACAGAAGAGCTCATGGAGAGAATGAAAAGGAAAAGCGAGAGCGAAGAATTTGCCGACTTTGACCCGATAGCGACAAAGGAGGTGGATATCACGGAAAAGGATATCGACCTCATGCAGATGCCTACAGAGGCGACAGGAAATGTTGTAGCTTACCTCTTTGCGCAGGAAATGGTGAGCAACGTGGGTAAAGACTTAGCACCCCTACAGCTGGGGGAAAGCACTGATAGTCAACACGATAGTAGTAGCCTAGAGATCCTACGTGATGACTCAGACTCAAGTGAATCCAAACCCAACCCTTTCCTGGATAAAACGCCAGTTGCTGAAGCATTACCGGATCCGTTCAGCTCTGGAGATCCTTTTGGACTTGGTTTAGACCCGTTTGGAGGTGCTTTCGGCGAGTCTTCGCCGATCGACAGTAGCAACCCATTTGGCGATAATTTCACTCCGTCTGAAGTGAAACTACCGCCAGATATCTTTGGAAACGGTCTAGTGGACACGACAGTTGAAGATCAAGAACATGAACCCAAGGCGGAAGAAATTACCAAGTCAGACAGTCAGGAAAATCCGTACACCGATCCTGATTTCTGGAGTTCTGGCACTAAAGAGAACACAGCCGCTGATTTGCTCGGCGATGACCCCTTTGGTCTCAAGGAAATTCCGCCTGATGATTTTGACAAACAGTCCAGCTCATCAGGCAATTCCCTCAACAACCCTTTCATGGACGACTTCAGTAATATTGAGCAAGAGCTTGATTCTGCACATGTTAAAAAGGAGCAAGGGTCTTCTTCACCTAACCCTTTCCTTGAAGACTTAGAGGCTATCCCAGAAGAAAGTAAATCAGAAGAAAAATCTGAGAGTGAACCCACAGATCTGCTTGGTGAGGTAATATCAACATCTGATGAACCGTCAAGCAATGAGTTGACCAATCAGCAACAAGAAGGCCAAGTAGCAAAAGATGAATCAACCAATCAGAGTACAGGGGCCTTATTAGATGTTTTTGGTTCTTTCCCTCCAAGCGTAGAGGACCCAGCTGGTGGAAGTCCATTCTTTGACACCGAAGAAGTCCTGACTGAAGAGCTTCAAACTGAAAGTACTCCAAAAGCGGAGGAAAAACGGGAGGCTTGGAAACCGCTTTACTCTGTAGAATCTCTGGATGTGGAATCAGAGCAAAGCACGATTACAGACACATCTCCAGACAGCATTACAAGTCCCGTTGCAAGTCGTCTTCTAGACGTAGCCTCCCCTACGTCTTCCGACTACAAGTCTGCTACAGAGTCTCTCGGCGCAATGACCTCCATCATTCAAAGTGAAAGCGAGATCGCGGAGACATTTACAGGTGGCGTAACAAGCCCCGTCGCAAGTCGTCTTCTTGACGTGACCTCCCCCACACTGTCTGAGTATCAGTCTGCTACAGAGTCTCTTGGTGCGCTGACGCAAAGCTCCGTCACTCAAAGTGAAAGCGAGATCACGGAGACATTTACAGGTGGCGTAACAAGCCCTATCGCAAGTCGTCTTTTAGATGTCACTTCCCCCACGTTGTCTGAGTATCAGTCTGCTACAGAGTCTCTTGGCGCAATGACTCACAGTTCCATCACTCAGAGTGAGAGCGACCAGTTCTTCTCAGCCACAAGTCCGTCTGAAGAAAACGTCTCAGCCCTCGAGTCCCCCCCTCCTGAACTCTCAGATCTCGAGCACATCGAAGACATGCAGAAGAGGGATGACTCCAGCGATGACATGTCTTCAAGCCCTGGAAAGATGTCGGACGCGTCCACCACCTCCGAAAGTTCAAACTCGTACTCTCTAGAAAGCTCAGAACCAGCAAACACGGAATTCATGTTCTCCAAGGCTCCTACAGAAGTAATAAGGGAAGAGGATGAAGAAGAATTAGAAGAAGAAGAGGAGCAGAAAACTCCAGTCGCACCCAGTCAAGGATTAGACCTTTTAGGACAAGATCTCGCAACAACTGAAAAATTCAACCCGTTCCTGGCAAAAACGCCAGTTGAAATGCCAAAGGAAAATCCATTTGGACCTGCTTCTTTGAAAGAGGCTGAAGAAAGCAACCAGTACCCAGCTCTTGATATCTTCAGCTTCGATCCCATGCACACAGTAGACTACAAGCAAGAAGAAGAAAAAGTAAAGTTCACTTCTTCAGAGATCGTGACTGGAGACTCCTTTGTTCCAGGAGAGCCAGAGGAAGACCAGAAGGTATATTCTTTTGGAGATGCAAACACAGAACAGTTTGCAGAAGAACTTTCCTCACAGATCATGGGTTCTGGATTGTCTGAGTCTGTCCAAGAAGCAAAGGCAGTCGAAAAGCAGGAGGAAGAAAGCACCGAGAGGTTTGCAGAGAACCTGACTACGGACGTTCTCCGTAAGGCTGTCATGGCGTCTCTAAAGACTGCCGAGTCAATCGAGCAAGCCATCGAGACTCAGGACACACATGAGAGCTTTGCGGAAGACACGCTTGAACTCCCAAGCCCTATCACGGAAGAACACTCCGATGTCGATACACAAGCGGCGGAAGAGTTTGCTGAGATGCTGACAAGCCAGGTCATGAAGGATGCAACCAACAAGGATCAGGCTGCTACCGCAGTCGCCGAACGCCTTACGAAGATTGCCTTTGAGCAGGCTGCGAGGGAGGGGTTGGAACTGGACCAGTTTGCGGAGGACGTCACGAGCGCGGTGTTGCAGCAGGCTGTGACGACGGACCGTGACGAAGCCGCAGACGACCAGAACCAGGAACTAACCCCACGGTCGCAAGACGATACCATGGACTCTTTCGCGGCTGTGGGCGAGTCTCTGGCAGCCGTGCAGACCGCGATGAGGGCAACTCTACAGACAGCAGAGAGCATTGACGTGGCTATCAGCACAACAGAAGCAAAGGAGGCGTTCGCCAGGGGGTTTTCACAGCTGAAGGACAGCGAAGAGGAGCTGTCCAGCCCCTTGTCTGACGGCTACCCAGCGTTGGACAGCTCTACGACTGACGACACATCCACAACGTTCAGTGTCAGCAGCACGCCTCAACTCACCTCACCCGAAACACCAGTCAAAACCTTCCCAGAGCTGAGCGGGCCATGGACGGAGTCTGACCAGGTGGAGCTGGTTGGACCCAGGGAAGAACCGGACGGAAATAGCGAAGATCTTGACCACGAGACACCCTTGACCAGTGACCAGACTGCGGAGGATTGGTTAGGATTTGGAGCCAAGCAACCAATCATAGATGGCGTAACAGTTACAGAAGCCACGCATGAGCCAGCTGTTGTGGTTGGAGGAGCCGTTGAGGAGATGCAGGGTGCAGTAGGAGGTGTGGGTGTCCTGGAGGTCCCTGTGGTCAGCGTACAGAAGGCGAGTCCCATCCACACACCCACTGACCATGACCTGGCCTTCATACCCAGGGAGTTACGGGACTCTGGTGGGGAGGCTGAGCAAGTTCCCATGGTAAGTCAGGGTTTGAAATCCTTTTTCTGCATACCTGTACTGGTGCAGGTAACATTGAAAATCACCTGCACCAAAAAAAATTTACCTGCACCACTAAGACTTTGAGAAATAATGATTATACTTCTAATAGGGTAGTAACTGTTCAGAATCCCTAACCATTATTTCTTCTGTACTTCTATACATTTGATTTGATTTATTGACATTGTAACAATACAATACACGTGGTAACAGTGAATTCACTAGCAAATAAAAATGCACTAATTACACCCGCATGTGATAACTGTTTGAACCCTATGTGATACAGGTTGCTGCAAGATTGGGCAGCAACCTGGGGCATGAAATTCAACCCTAAGAAATGCAACACCATGTCCATCACACGGAACAAGAACCCTTTTACTTGGATGTACGAGATGTGTGGCGAGTTTATCCACCAAACAGAGCAGGCCAAGTATCTTGGCATCACTATCAGCAACGACTTGAAATGGTCAACACATATCAGCACTGCTGTAACACGTGCCAACCACACACTTCATTTTCTCAGCCGTAACCTTCGCTACTGCCCCCGTCAAGTCCGTGAGACCGCATATTTCAGTCTTGTTCGCTCTACTATAGAGTATGGTGCAGTTATCTGGGATCCTTATCTGAGAAAGGATATTGACACACTTGAAATGGTCAACCGACGTGCTGCTCGCTTTGTGACCAGTAACCACCGTCGTCAGGATGTCAGCGTCACAGCCCTCCTGCATGACCTGAGATGGCCGTCACTTCAGTCTCGACGACAGCAAGCACGACTAGTAATGATGTATAAGATAACCAATGGTCTCGTGGCTATCCCATCCAGTCGGCTTATCCCGGCAGTTGCTCGCACCCGTGCCAACCACGCCCACAAGTACAAGACTCTGAGACCACACTGTGACATTGCAAAATACTCATTCTATGCTAGGACAATTCCTGAATGGAATAACCTTTCTGCCGACGTAGCTGAGAGTCCATCATTACAAACTTTTAAGAATCGTTTATCGTCACTTCCGTAATCATGTGTATATCTCCCCTCTGCGCGATATCCCTGTATGTAGGGAATTTGCAGAGTAGTAGCTAGAACTAGAACATGTGCAATGTGTTATCACATAAGCTTGATCACCAGGGCATATTTTTTGTATGTGTCCAAAAGAACAGTTTTTGGTTTTCCTGACTTTTATTATCATGGTATAAAATTAATTGTAAAACTTTCTGTTTGTTCTATACAGGATCCTCTATAACAGCCTAGTTTGGGTTTTCCTTACTTGTGTTAGGAACACTTTACTTACAGTATTATATTATATAATATAATTATTGTTTTTCCTAAGTATTGTAACTTTCTGTTTCTTTCTATACAGGAGCCTCTATCTTCATCCTCCCCCAAGACATCAGTAATGAGTCACCCCCTGGCTGGGTCAGGGCCCCCGACCCCTGAACACATGGCACAATCAGGTGGGGAAACTTCTTACCTTTAACTTACTTGTACATTGTGTAACTAGAAAAGTAACATTTGCAAAGCAAATGCATAATTATATAATGTTTACCTTCTCATATGGTCTGTTAATTCTTACTCAAACACATTCACATAATATGGTGACAGGAGTCTAAATCCCTCCTGCTATAAAATCGCAACATTATGTAACCCAACACCAGTTACCATGGCGACAGACAGTCTGGTGCAGGTCATTGACCTGGTCAGTGTTTGGAACAGAAGAAGAAACAGAGCAAAAACAATATGTTTTCCTTCGGTAAACATAATGAGAATCTCTGAAACTAAATTGTATAACAGTTAACTGCTTCTGCTATACATCATGAATATTGTATGTTTTGCCAACTTGGAATTTTGCCACATCTCCAAGGAGACAGAATCATTTCCATGCTATTTATTTATTTATTTATTTCATCTTGTAAACACCTGGGTAGCCTCTACAGCATAATATTGCTGATTTTCAAGAGGGCCCAGGGTCACAAACAAATATAACATAACATAAAGCAAATTGTATAAAAGTAAATTATACAATCAAGTAACAAAAGTTAACAGAAATCAGTATAACTGAAAATCAGTATAACTGAAAAGTTAACATATATAAACATATAAACAACTGAACAAAAATATACAAATCATTGAATCAGCTATGCACGATACATCACACACAAGGGAGAAAATTCAATCAGAAGATCCAGCCCTGTGAAACACTAAGTCTTGAATGTGTCTCCGTAAGAAATTTATTGTTTAGCAAGAGCAGGCTTTGTCATATCATACATGTAAGTGTCTATGCAGTGTTCTAGCCAGTGTCTGCCTTTCTGTCTTTTTACAGAAATTTGTTGACAAAAATGTTACCCAATCTTTCATCTTTGACAGAAAGCTGTCAACATGTAAAGATATGGAAAGAGATGTCTCTAAACTAAGAGTAGCCTACCAGCAAAATTTGCTTCTCAAACTGTAAGACATTGTCATTTCAGAGGTTCAACTTTTCAAAATTTTCCTGGGGGAGCATATCCTCTGCATAACTACAAAATTGAGATGATGGAAAAAATTCTGGCTAGAACACTCCAGTATAGTCTATCATGTCACACTGCAGAACATACTGCACCTGCACGAAACCCGTAATGTATTATGCATAGCACTTTGGCAGAACATCTCATATAAGGTTGTACTCGCGCATATGACACCCAGTCTGTAGTTTCCAAATTTTATTGCGGAAAAGATGTCTTCCATTGCAAGAAAAATTCTTAGACTAATGCAACGTTGACCAAACATCCAACAAAAACCACGAAAAATCGGGTTTGCGCAGTCGCAGTACGTTCTGCCGACATGCTGTATAGTCTAAAAGGTCTGCTTTTGGTGATAACTGAGTCAGACATCCTTATCACTGTGATGTCCTGTGATGAGTGATAATCTGTGAGTGCCATCCAGGCCATTGTCTTAGTCAGATCAGCTAAGCAGTTTCCTGTGTTCCCTTCCCAGACTCCCCTCGCCGTGAGCGGTCCAGTCACGTGATGGAGGGGGTCGCGGTGCAGGAGGAATGGCAGGATGATGAACTTCCAGGGTAAGGCAGTCCTGTATCTTTGCTAATGACCAGGTTTTGTAAATGATAGATCCTAATGATAAGAAATATATATTCAGTAGATTTGGTGATTTAGCAGACTGGATAATTGTTGCAGCAGTTCAAACTTATAAAAATGTGACAAGTCTTGATTCTCACTTTGCATTTCTAGTAGACTAAGTAGTTGTCAACTACTAGACTAACTCAATACTCAATATTCAACTATACTCTAGATACTAATTTAAATATTGTCTATGAAGAGTGCAGTAACGACATCACAAAACTAAATATAACTATATGAGAGGAGTGCATTTTGGACTTCAATGCAGCTTATAATTTATTGCAGAAATGAACTTTTGGCAACAGTTATCATAATATTTAAAAATAGTTTATGTATACTGTTAAAAGAAACAATATTTATTTTCATTCATAGAGCCTCAATGACATCCTTTAAGTTACATAATAATTTAATAATATTATTTATGAAATCATATTATAGGTCTTTGAAACTCTCACAGCAATTTTAATATCATATATATATATATAAAGGATTTGACTGCCAAGAAACTTGAATGAACTTAACATAGCCCATAGATGAGCTCCCATCACGTACTCAGAGCTCTACATTCTTGGGTAATCCTCCCCTATTGATACTCTGTCAGAGGAAAATAACGTCACGACCGTCACTGTAAGACCGTCTCGTGACAACACAGCGTTCTTAAATTGGCACACGGGCGCTATCTTTGCTTGCGTGTGACAGGTACTCATAGACAGCCTTCAGTGACGCATTGTTGATTTAATCATCGCCGAAGACACACAGCCTTGACGTCAGCAAGCCTTAATTAGTTGCCATGCCAACGGATGATGTCCGTTGTCTCCATGGAGGTTTCCGCTGAGAAACTGCTGGGCTGCTTCTGGTAACGCCGTAACGGTTCTTTTGTGTGACGTGAAAAACCCCTCCCTGTGTCTTATGAATAGTTTATGAGTCAAAGATATAATCGTTATCTGTTGTATTTGTGTAAGCTTCTTGTTGTGACGCACGTGTGGAGGAGTCATATGACCGGAGTACTGTGTATTACATATATGGCAAGCCTGGAACACTTGATACTGACTGCTGATTTATTGCATTTATTAGAGTGGCTTCGGGGGTTTTCTGAGTTGGGGGACGCTAGGGGGGATTCTTAATAAACTCAAACATACCGTACAGGTCTTAGTGGGTTGTATTACATTTGGTGAGAAATACATTTTATGGTACATTTTGTACACATACAAATGTATGTAAATGTTTTGGATTGTTTCTGTCTTGCTTATAGCAAAATCTTTTTTGATGTTATATTTGGTGTCTATAATATTGGCTTACATGCAAAAATTATTATTTCTAAACATCTATATATAGCTGAAAATAATAATACAGAGATATGAGTACCTATTATATTAAATTGTAAGATAAAAATTAGTTTGTTGTGTAGTTGATTTACAAAGAAGTATATTGTATGAAAAAGATTAGAATAATGTAGATTTTATATTTTACAGTATCCTGGTTTCCAACTGTATTTTCTTTGAAATGTGCTCACTTCCAATTAAATCACCATCCATTTCATTAATACTATAATTCATCATACATGTACACGTGAATGCACTTACCAAACATGTACATGTACATGTACAACAGAAAATATAGACCCCAGGCACAAAATGGAATTGATGTTGTCCCAAAACTCAGTCATTGGGGAGGTATCTAAGCCAAAAAAAAACAAAGTGAGAGACTCAGTAATATGGACATGTTCAAAAACTCATTCTTTTCTAGAACTCGCTGTCACCAAGTACAGTAAGGGCATTATCATTAGATAGCTTTAAAAAATATTTAGAGTTAGATGTTCAAGGGTTAGGTGTAACAAGTCGATCGGCATAATGTAGCGAGCTGCCGCCGCGCTGCATGCCTGTGAAACTGCTGTGCTACACAGTTATACCTGTTATACCAGCTATACAGATACAGAAGCTGGTGTGTTATGCTGAAGGGCGGTTATACCGGCTATACAGATACAGAAGCTGGTGTGTTATGCTGAAGGGCGGTTATACCGGCTATACAGATACAGAAGCTGGTGCATTGTGTCGAAGGGTGGTTATACTGGCTATACAGATTCAGAAGCCGGTGTGTTACGCCGAAGGGTGGTTATACCGGCTATACAGATACAGAAGTTGGTGTGTTATGCCGAAGGACGGTTATACCAGCTATATGGATACAGAAGCTGGTATGTTACACCAAAGGGCGGTTATACCGGCTATACAGATACAGAAGCTGGTGTGTTACACCGAAGGGCGGTTATACTGGCTATACAGAATCTTATACAGATACAGATACCTGAGTTACGAAATTTGACGTTACCCAGGGGCCATGTTTCTGTGACATCTAAACAAACACTACAAGTTGATATTTTCTGGCATCTAACTAGTTCCAACACTCAGAACTTTTAAGCGTTCCACTAGGTTCTCCACTAGCTCACACAACTTCACCATCCAAATTCCCTGTCGAAATCTTTTTACAGTGACAGTTTCTTTCCCTGTACGGCCAAGCTTTGGAATTCCTTCCCTGACAAGTGTTTCCCACCAACCTACAATCTACAGGCTTTCAAATCAAACGTTCACCGCCATCTCTTGACATAGACATGTTTCTCATATTTCTAGTTCGAGAAGTGATCGTATAGGCCTTGCATTAAACCACTCCGTTAAAAAAAAATAAAAAATTGACGTTACCCATGTTTCTGTGACATCTAAACAAACACCAGGCTGATATTTCCTGGCGTCTGAAGTGTCATTAGCTTCAGCAGATATCGCTGGCTGCTTGCCTAATAAAAATCCCAGTGCATGTGACTGTGAGTAAGTGCCAGGGTGAAGGGAAATTTCATTACCGCTGCATGGCTGTGACAATTTGGTGATGACTTGCTACCAGGACCCGGAGAGGAATTACAATGAATCATTCAGTTCCCAGGTTTTTACCTCCATGAAAAATGGAGGTATTGTGTTTGGCGTGTCTGTCTGTGTGTGTCTGTCTGTGTGTGTGTTTGTGTTTCCGCACATTTGTAGCCAGCATAACTTCAGAACGCATTTATGGATTGTGATGATATTTGGTACATTGGGTTAATGTAGGTCTTAGGAAGACGAAGGTCAAGGTCAAATATTGGCTTCCTGGTGGATGACCTTGGTACTGCAGCAGAACAGTTTTTGTATCTTTTGTCCTGAACATGCTATGGTCTTGGATTTTTGTTTGTCATAGCTGCCATAGGAAATTTCAGATACATGTAGTGGCAAGAAAGACGTACATTGTGGTATCAACTTCGAATCTTGTTAGGCCAGTTCAATCATAAAATGAGAGAAAATGATGCAGACATTACACTTTCCTACTTCTTATTGAATATTACCCAAATCATCTTTTTTCCTGATAGAATTAAAAATTTATATGACCTAGAAATGTTCCAGAAATGAATTTGGAGCCCTGGCTTGTCAGATGTTCTCTGAAACAGCCTGTGAAGTGTGTTTATCTGACCTTTTCCCAGTGTGTTATGTGTGGTTGAGTGAGCTGTGTTCCCGGGCATGAAATATTAATTCAACGCTCCAGGGCCACAAAAGGATTTTTCCTACAAAGAAAACTGGCTCAGTGTATTATTATTATTAGCACATATGAAAAATAGGACATGGTCAAAAAGCTATTATCTTTCTGATTTATTTATATTTATCATATGATTTTATGTTTTGTTAGAGAAAACTGTGTCATTCCTCTAGAATTTGTAAACAGATGGTGGAGTAAAAATAAAACTACAAAATATGAAAAAGAGGGCATGGTCAAAGAAGCTATTATCTTTATGAGTTATTAATATTTATCCATTGTTTTTAATTTTTGTTAGAGAAAATTGTGTCATTCCTCTAGCATTTGTAAACAGATGGTGGAGAAAAACTACAAAATCTCGAAAAAAAGATTCATCAAATTTAGGCACATTGTCAAAGAAGCTATTATCTTTATGATTTATTTATATTCATTCTACGATTTTATCTTTTTGTTCGAGAAGATTGTGTCATTCCTCTAGCATTTGTAAACAGATGGTGGATTATACTAAAACAAAAAAATCTCTAAAAAAAGATTCATCAAATGTAGGCCCATTGCTTAATGATGTATGTCATTAATCCAAAGAGGATATACGGGTCATGAAACAGAATGCATAAATTGCTTGAAACGTAATTGCCCATCTATTCAGATAGACACACGTTCGTGCGTTGCCCCCTTTTCTTCCCCCTTAGAATTCCTTCGCATTCCAACGTTTATTGATTTTTCGCGGAATTTCGTGGCTGGAATACGTGAGGGTTGTTGCAGGGATCTTCCCGTTATTCCAGTGTGTTCGCGCTTCCACGTACGCTCCCCTTGACGTTCTAGGTGTCGGATTCCAATTTCCTGACTCTAACCTTGATGAAGGTCACGCACGCATAACGCGGGAATCAGCTTTTCAAGATGGCCGCCTGTAATCAGTGATACTCGTAGTTTTTCCCTCGATGATGGTCGTTACCGTACACAGATCGTGATGGGCTCACTGTAGGTTTGAAAATTTTATTCATCTTCTATGTTTAAGTGTGTTTTCCATGTTTCCCTCGTAATATACGTTGCGTAAAGTAAGTATTTTAGCACAGTCAGCCTTTTACTTTAGGTAATCTGCCCTAAGGCTCTGCCTTTGTGTATAAATCCCTTTTTTGCAGGCAATTTTCCAAGTGGAGGCATCTAATAGCGATTTCCTCTTTGTTATGACTGAACCATTGATTCTGGTATAGTCTTTTCTGTAGTTTGTAGCCAATTTGAGGTAACTTAAAGCTTTTTTATAGCATGCAGTAGTTTATATAGGCTCCTACGGAATTCCAAGCAGGTGTTGTGAAAGAGAATTGATTTTTACATGGTCTCTGTGGACTAAAAGTCCAGCTGAGGCCCAGAATTGGGTAGAATGTAAGCAGAAGGTCATATTGCCCTGATATTTACATTCAAAGCTCTACACAGAATGTCTAAAAGATATTTCAGTTATAGCAGCCCAAATGAAGAAATGAAAGAATGCAGTCTAGGAATCATTCCTGTATATTTGTGGGTGTATTAGCTATTACATAGCCTATAGGGGATATTTAAGCTTGTTTCTATAATTTCATTCTAAAATAGCCTCATTACTCCCTTGGGTACTATGATATTCAGGAAGCCTATCTGTACGAACAACATACATTTCACCATCTAACCTTTAAAAAATTGTGTAGAATTTCCATTTAAAATTTAGAAGCTGTTTTATAGATAACATAATTATTGTACCGATGTACATGTATATTACAGGGCACGAAATACTGGTTGAAGTGCACCCAAATTTGGAGCTGTGCACCCATTTTTTTTTCTGTGGGTGCACCAGTGCACCCAAATATTTTCATAGGTTTACATATGTAAAGATGTTAAATGTATAGTAGTATACAGCATATTCTGAAGATGTAAGGGTCAAAATAATAATAAAACCATTGTTATAAATACAATATTGAGAAATGAAACCCAATTTTTTAGGTTTTCAAATGAATACGTTGGAAAATTTGGAATACATGATTTTTGAGCTTGCTCTTGCTATTTATAGATTGCTTGTTTTACACAGTGCTGTAAATTTATGTTTTGAAAATATTGTATTTTTCTTCTGAAAAATTGATTAGCACTATTTTTATGGTACACAGATGCTGAAATTAATCATGTCAATATGTAATGACCCCAAATAATACATTAATGATTAAAAGCATATCCATTTGCTGGATAAAGTGTTATTATATAATAGTTTCTATCCAAACAGTAACCTTTTACTAGTACTGATTAGTTAGTATAGGACACCACAGGACCTTTTAGAAAGTATCAATGACAAAAAATATTACATTATGTTCTCAATGTTTTTGTATAATTGTCATCAAAATATGTTTTGTTCTGTCATCATTCACTTAAATGATTTTCAGTATACAGCATGTAGAGTAGCACTGTGTCAAAAGATGAAACCACTGGTAACAATTCTTGTGATGTACTAAAAATATTCACTGACAGACAGTTTAGTCAGGCATACGATGTACCTACAATGTACATAGTACATTGTTATAGTAAACATTTTCAAGAGACCACTAAACATTTGTTTCCTTGCAATTGGTTTAAACCATGATACATTGATAAGTATTAAGATAACAGAATGTTGTCAAAATGACTCATCCTTGAGAGAAAATCATAATGCCTAGTGCTCTGTATAGTATACTTCATCCTGAAATTAAACATTTCAAGGCACAAACTTTCTCCTGAAACCAACTTGAAGACCCTTTCTGTGGCCTCAGTCCAAAAGTAATTCCCCTTGAGCAAGTTTAATCTGCCTGGGGCAACTGGATTCTCTCCCTGACTCAAAACCAGCCCTGCAACGCTAAATGTAATTATGAAGGCTTTTGTAGGCTTTTCCACATCACAAGCATGTCCTTCACTATACATTATTTGTGATGTCAGGAACTTTCTTTACCAAAGTGCGCAGTCGTGTTATTAAAGATAAGCTTAACTGTACAATATTACAATATGCATAAAATTTCTTTTTTGAATTGTTATTGTAGTGTCAGTCCCAAACTTGAAAAATTGTATAAAAGCTTTAAATTTACAAAGACAGTATATTATATACAATGCATTTTCATTGATTGATTTTCACTACCAGTTTACTTAGCCCCCTGCTGTTACGTAGTAATTGCACTACTGTGTGGCCCAAGGGCTGTAGAAGTTCAAGAGATGGGCATTCCCCTTTGCACCATCTGGTGCCAGAGAACTTTTACTTTTCATACAAATACAATGTACATAATATATGTTGGCTCCATACTGAAATTCCTGTATTATGTTTGGGTGGACTGTGACTGGTTTGTAACAGCATGCTAGAAGGACTTTCATGTGGCATTGCACATGTACATGTATTCAGCTATTTGCTCCATACTGAAGTTACATAAAGAAAACCCCATGGAATTCCTGTACTGTGGGTGGGTGGACTGTGACTGATTTGTAACAGTCTGTTTCAAGGACTTATTTAAACTTTTTGTATTTAGCTATTGGCCCAAGACTATTAAAAGTTACATAAAGAAAACCCTCTGGAATTCCTATATTGTGTGTGGGTGGACTATGAAAGGTTTGTCACAGTCTGCCGTAATGTGAAGTGACAGGATGTGGAGGTGGTTATGAATGTTAACTTCACTGACGCAGGTGCTCATCCTATATTGTCATTACATCTCCTGTCAGCTTATAACTATACAGTACATGTACAAGCCGTATACATGTATATATGCACCTATAAGCTATAATATTTTAGTAGTCTTTCTCAATCTTGGACAGACGTACGTCTGGTAATGTTGGTGAGGCGAAGGTATTTAATAACTATTGTTTGATTTCTCTAGTAACTGTTTAATGCCATTGAAGAGCAATCTCTGTTTTTAAGAGTATTTCGTGTTTTGTTTTTTTTGTATGTACATGTATATAGTAGTATTAGTACTACATACATTGTGATGTGGACATGTGCTAGTATTATGTAATTCCTGCATTTTGACAATTTTAAAGCCTCTTCCTTTCAAGAGCATTGAATTATGATGTGTTTGCTGTTAATTTATGTTTAAATTATTATTTTGTCGCTTACATTGCCCTTCAGTATGAATTTGCATTCAAGAATATTTATTATCATTTCTGTATTCATATAGAACATATGAAGGTTATTCCATGGTGATTTCAATGTCATACACTAGTCCTTGTCTCTTTGGCACTGAAATGAGACCATACAGGGTAGTTTGAGACAGAAAGACGGATCTATGTGAGGGAATAGGCCATGTAATGTGCCAACAGAGGCTGACACTGATCACATTATAGCCACGTATAGAGCCTCTGGGAATTACAAGGATCTTGGCAAGGTTCCCAAGCGTAGAGCGGAAAGGCTGTGAGATTTCTGCTCCACTCGTGCAAATAATCAGACTATCCAGGACTTAGACAAAGAAGAATAAGGACTTTACAACAAATTTTGTATGAAAGCAATGGATGGTATTTCAGCACTAAGGACATACATGTAACCTACTGCTAATTGTGTTCAGCCTCTTGCTGATTTTCAAAACAACTTTGAATGGGAGTTTTTCATTGTTTGATGATACTGTCTTGTATTAAAGCAATGGATGGCATTTCAGCACAAAGGACATACATACATGTATAACCTCCAGTTAATTGTGTTCAGCATCGTTGCTGATTTTGGAATCAGTATTTAATGTAGGACAGTAAAGTCTTTGAATTGAAGATTTGTTAATGTTGTCCATTCTGCTATGATTTGATGCTTACCCTCATGCATTAAAGCAATGGATGGCATTTCAGCACTAAGGACATGCATGTACATACATACATGTATTACCCCACCCTTTGCTAATTTTTGCTGCTTGTTTTTAAAAAAGACAGTATATACATTGTAACAAAGGACAGTAAAGTCTTTGAATTGAAGATGAATTTCTGTTAATGTTGTTCTTTCTGCTGTGTTGCTAGGCAACTACCAGAGGATGACCTGGAGGATCATGGGACGGAGTCAGGGGTCAGTTCTCCCAGCACCACCCTCAGTCCTGACAGGGAGAGAGGTCAGTTAGAGGTCACCTTTTCAAAAAACATTGTTTTCCAAAAATTCAAATAAATTATTTTTAAGCAGTGTACGTGTATCTGTGAATAGTTACCAAAGGAAAACATAATTTTTTTTGCTCTGTTTCCTCTTCTTCTCCAAACCAATTATGTCAATGACCTGAACCAGATGTCTGTCACCATGGTAACAAGTGTTGGGTTACATCATGTTGCAATTTTATAGCAGGAGGGATTTAGACTCCTGTCTGACCATATATATATATGAATGTGTTTGAGTAAGAATTAACAGAGCAGACCATATGCAAAGGTAAACATTATGGATTTGCTTTGCAAATGTTACCTTAGTTTCTAGTATTGATTACTGTGTTTTCTAAAACAGTCTTTTATAATGTCAATAACCTAAACCAGATGTCTGTCACCATGGTAACTAGTGTTGGGTTACATTATGTTGCAATTTTATAGCAGGAAGGATTTATACTCCTGTCACCATATATATGAATGACATGATAGTGTTTGAGTAAGAATTAACAGAGCAGACCATATGCGAAGGTAAACATTATGCATTTGCTTTGCAAATGTTATATAATATTGATTTCATTGTTTTCTGAAACAGTTCCCCCCTCGTCTCTGGACCTGGGATCAGGCGCGAGACCCAAGCAGAGAAAACGTGTCCCGCTGTCCCCCAACCTCAACGTCAACCTGGACAGCACCATGACAACCCAGGACAGCGTGGACGAGACGCCAGATGACCTTGATGATGACGACCTTGACAACCTCCCCGATGACATTGACACGCCAGACGACATTGATGACTTTGATTCATCAGGACATGGAAACGACCTTGAATGGGAAGGTAAAAAAAATCTTCATCTTGAATTTTGTGTGACTTTCACACTTGGTTGAATGAGGACTGTTCAGTTAATATACAATTGTAGTTTGAGCCAGTAAGAATAATTCCGAAAAAAGGATTTGTATGTGAAGGATGAGGAAAAATGTTAGAATAGCTGAGTGTACGTAAAAATGAGGATTTTTTCAAGGAAGTTGACACAAACATGTGGAACTGAAAACGAAAAATTTGTGCAAGGTTTTGCCCTTGATGATAAATTTGTATTGTCCCACAAATACGGAAAATCGGAAGATCGGAAATGTTGCAAGATTAAAATTGATTTTTATCATCCTGCTTTGCATGTTTTTGATGTTGTTATTTTACTTTTCACCATTACTTGCTGCTTTGGCTTTGCAACCCTCAGAGCTTTCATAGGGGCAGTCTCAAATGTTCATTTTGATCTTTGTCATTGTCAAAGTTTTACCTAATTTGAGCCAATGATGACAGAAAAAGTTGTGTTTGGTTGTTACTGAATTGGAAATTGCTCCTTTGTTTTTAGTAGTCTAAAACCATTTATATTTTGGTTTTTCTTTTAATGCCCACGATCAGGATAATGATCATTCTGGCACACTCATTTTCACCTGAGCAAAGTGAGGAAAGTTGTGTTAAGTGCCTTTCCCAAAGGCACAAGGTTGGTGACATGGCAGGATTTGAACCTGGGACCTCTTGGTTCTGAGCCAAATGCTCTGCCATTATGCCACACAACCCCACAATCTTGAACATTTATCTGGCTTGAACTCATAGAATAATAAATATGAATTGGCTGCAAAGTGTACTGTGTCATATTAATCAGTGTTGAAAGTCTTTGAGATTGTCCCTGCTAAAGCTATAGCAGCTATTTTGTAAACAGCTTGAGTGACTTTTATAGCACAAACCTCTGTTGTTTTGACTCTGATTTCGCTCATCAAACCCAGACGACATCTGTGCCCTTTCTGATGAGCTGGAATGGGATGGTGAGACGGTTGTTGCTTCACTGTCAACTTTGTAGTCAGACAGACTTATTATTAGCAACATCAATCTAACAAGTTGTTTCTATTGGCTTTCTTGGTACTAAAAGTTTTATGGGAAACAACACATGTAAAGAATTTTGGCATGTTCCTCCCAGTAACTTTCTTCAAATCACACAGAGCTGCGGTTGATTCAAAGTTAATATGTTTTTTTTCACATAAAAGTAGTTTGCAAAATCTGAAATTTGAAGCTGCTGTATTTTTGGGATAAGTAGGTCCCAGGTTCTCCCTTAACTGTGAGAGAAAGATTATTCCAAAAAAGCTGCTTTTCACATCAGAAATAGATTTTAAAAATAATCAAATAAGGATTGTTTAAAGTCCTTTACTTGATTCTTTTTAGAATCTTTTTTTTTTACTGTCTAGTGCATGATGCAGAGTTGAGTCCATTTCTGAAAAATCCCCCATACTACATGTATATCCTTCCAAAGGAAGTCCAAAAGCAGCTTATTAGATTGGTGTTGCCTTATAGCTTAAAGATTGTATGTATTGTTCTAACCACGTTTTAACTCACAGCCTGCTGCCTGACTTATTGCTGGAACAAAACCTTCATGTTATATAGATTGTGCTATATCAAGGACTGGTATATGTTGTCTTATGATGCATGTTTTTTTTTGTATATAACTTGACAGTCTTTAACGTATAAGCACTTCTTTTCTATCTACATTATCTTGTCAGCATTCTGTCTAACTTTATGAAAATTAAAAGCAGCTAGAATCAAGCATATCAAAATTAAATTTTTTAGATTAACTAAACCTTCAATGTAAAGATAAGGAATTTCCATGCAACATTATTAACATGGCATGCTCAACTCTCAAGTACAAGAGTTTTTAAACAATGAATCTGGTAATAGGTAGTTTTATATGACACTCCTTTTCTGTAAGGAAATTTAGAATTTCTCAATTAAAATTTATAATGCACAGAAATATCACAATCTTTTAAACAATGCATGGCACTATCACCATATAACATTTCTGAACCAACAGTTTCAGTATTATACAGAAATATATTAGTCTACGGTTTCAATATCATTGTAGATTGTGTTTCAAATCTAATTGAAGTAAGAAAATAATGTAGTGTTTTATTATTATAACAAACCAAAAATTCATTCTGAAGTTATTTTTATTAATTTCTAGAAAGAGTTTAGCCTGGTGCCCATCTAATTCTAGCTCCAGTTTCACTTGTAAAATATATTTAGGCCACACCAATTTGATTTCAAATTGTTGGTTCTCAGATCTGCCTCTTCATTTTTTTCTAATCCCCCCCCCCCAAAAAAAAAGATTCTGGTTCTGAATCAACTAAAAAATGCTCATATTTTGCAGTTGAGAAAAACCCTTGTCTTCCTAGTCCCTACAGTTTTTCCATGTATCAATGCAGTAGTTTGATTAGAAATTCAAAATTCATTGTTGAAATATTGACCCATCCTTTTGTGTTGACTTCATGGCTCCTATCGTGGCATTTGGGCTATATAATAGGATGCCTAGACCTGTTTTTATTTTTTTGCCCTGTCCTTCATATTTTTTCTGAAAAATCTAAGAACCAACAAATTTAAGTGGTGTGGCCTAAAATATATTTAGTGTAAAAGAAATCAGAGGAGTGGCTAGATCTAGAATTGGATGGGGTCCAAAATAGAAAAAGCTAGGATTCAGTAGGAAGCAATTTTATACTTGAAGTTTTTGTTGTGAGTTGTGTTTGGTTTGTTGCATGGAGGTTCCTTGTTTCAGAGTTGCTTTTGGTGTACGTGCCCTGGAAAACTCAACCAGACCTCAGTATACATACAGGCAAGGAGATGTCAACCTTTTCTGACTTTTCTTTTTTGCCATGTACTAACTAATTTTTCATTCAAACAATTTAACATTCATTTTAGTTAGGAATTAAAACAATCAATTTTTGTTACTACATGAACTTATTAATAAAAAGCTGTAGGGAGCTCAAGAAAGGTGGAGGGTTCTGTGTTGAGATAAAGGTATAAGAAGAATAGGTCAGACTTTAAACTGCGAAGGCCCCGGTCTGTATAAGCTTGCATGTTTGTGTACTAACATTAATGTTTGTTCCCTATCCCTCAATGGCAAGCTTTAGGTGCATTTCATCTACTTTGCCTGAACCAGGAAGAAATTTAGCAGGTTCTGCTTAAATGAAAGTGTTTAAAAATATGACGTTTTGAAAAAAAGGGAAGAAAAGAAAAGAGTTATAGAAGACAAAAAAAGAGAAGTGGGTTGGGAACAAGTTTCTGCCTGCCCTACAATTCTTCCTAGTCTGTCCCTTTAATGACTTGTAATACATATGATACATACAAAACTGCATTTGCCAGTGTTGATAAAATTAGAGTCTTCTTTCCTCAAGAAAGTTTATAGAATATAAAAATAAAGAGTCTGACTGAGATAGGGACAAATTTCTATCTGCAGCCCTAGAATTCTTCCTTGTTTCTCCCTTTCATGTTGTATTTAGTACTAAGGCCACACCAATTTAATTTCTTGGTTAACGGATTTTTGTAGAAAAATAATGGAGCAGGCGGGCAAAAAAAAATAGAAATAAAAATAGGCCTAGGCATCCTATTATGGCCCAAAATGGTACGATAGGAGCCATGAAGTCAACATACCAGACTGGTTCAAAATTTAAACAATGAATTTTGAACTTTTAATGATACCATTGCATTAAAAGATGGAATGACTGTAACAAGTAGTAAGAAAATGACTGTTTTCAACTGTTCAAGGCAAAATATGAGCATTTTGCAGTTGATTCTGAATTTTTTTTTTTGCAAATCAGAAAAAAATGAAGCGGCGAATCCGTTAACCAAGAAATTAAATTGGTGTGGCCAAAGTCTTGATGTGACATACATAACACTGCATTTGCCTGAGTTTGACATTCAAAAGTCTTCTAACTCTCCCCTGTGCGTTCCCAGACGATACGCCCATCGGGTCCAGTCGTACCACCCCCCAGGGCGAGAGTGTTCCGCAGTTTTCCGCGGACGAGGAGGCACGCATGTGGAGGACCGTCGTGATTGGTGAACAGGAACACCGCATCGACATGAAGGTCATTGATCCCTACAAGAAGGTCATCTCGCACGGAGGTGAGTGGATCTCTCTAATAGTAGGCTGTTGACGAAAAGGAATGGATATTTCATGAGGCTAGGCCATGTTGATTTGATTATATGGATGACATCCTCCCATGTATGAATTTTCAGCGGTTTCCACTTAAAAAATTTTGACCGTACTATAAATCATAAATCATACAACGCATGCAAAATTGCAAACAAAATATTGGGAAAGGATACATTATGATGTAAGTTGTAGAACACGAAAATCAACTCCAAAGGCAAAGAAGAAAATGTGAAGAAATGAAAATGAAGAGTCTATTATTCGCCATGTTTTTGTGTTTACTTGTTCAACCATCAACAGTGGTCAGTGGATCTCTCTAATTTTAGCCTGTTGACGAAAGGGGTGGATTTTTTATGAGGGTAGGCCATGTTGATTTGATTATATGGCATCCGCGTGCGTATGAATTTTCATCCGTTTCCATTTTAATAACTGTAAATCGTACAAAGCAGCTGCAAAATGAGCAAGTGTACTGTAAATTGCCAAAAAAATTATATTGGAAAATGATGCTAATGTAGAATACCAAAATCAACTCCAAAGGCAAAGACAAAAATGTGAAGAAATCAAATTGTCTTTTTCGCCATACCATACTTTGTGTGTTTATAGTCTTTTGTAGTTATTTGTTCAACCTTCAAGACAGTGGCCAGTGGGTGTCTTTAATTTTAGCCTGTTGAAGAGAAGGGATGTATTTTTAATGAGGGTAGGCCATGTTGATTTAATTAAAAGGATGACATTGATTCCTCACGCGCTTGATATTTCCTCCATTTGACACGGCAAACCTGGTTTTTAAAAGGGAATGCTGTTACCAAATTCGAACTGCAAACAATAATTTCACAAGAAAGTTGACAGGAAGAAAACAAGAAAAATCCAACTTGTTTTTGTGAAAGCTAACCTCCCTATTATCAAATTGGAACTACAAGACTTAGTGTTAAAAACAACAGCACAAGAAATTTGACAGGAACAAAAAAACAAGAGACACAACTTGTGAAAAAAGCTGAGCCTATCAAACATTTCTAAAAATCACAACAACTAGCCTTCCTGTTATCATTCCTGGTCTTATGTAACATGTTATCCTGATAGATACTAATTCTGCCAATACTGTAGTAGTTTCACATTCCTGATTATGTCCTTTTGGTTTTTAATTCTCTTTTCTCCTTCCTTCAACTGACTTCTACAACACGACAGGGAACACCAGTAAGCCTGACCTCCTTCCCTCCACTCTCTAGATAACTTAAAACAGTTCCACCAGCCGATCCAGATAAAACCTAAAAAGCTCACAGATGCCAGAAAATATACCTTGCTCCAATCTCCTTGAAAACATTAAAGCCTTTAATGCCTAACTCTTTCATACCAAAGCAACGCTTAAAAAGATGAAGGAGGCTGCCTTAAAGGCATCCAGTGCAGTTTTTAGGGCTTGGAAACTCAATTTGTCAAAGCCAATATTCTAGCCATTTACCTACACACTTAGTTGAAACAACACTATTCCAATGTATATTGACCCTCATGAAGCAATGGTTAATGGAAAATGGTTACTGGAAGGGCCCTGAGCTGATTTTTAGGGTACCACCCAGAAAATAAAGGACTCATCTTTGGGCTTGTTTCTGCAGTTTTAAATGCCCAAAGTATGAAATGCTGATTTAAATGTGCTAATGTGAAGCAGTATGTGTCAGTATCACAATTGCCTTATTCACATTATTTCCAGTTGCCCATTGGATGCCTTTAAATGAATCAAAGAAGAATCAGAAGAGATGGATTCTAAGGAATTTGGTCAGGAAGTATGCACTGGAAAATAATCTTTTTCAAAAAAAATCTTTCAACAATTCAGAAGAAGATGGACAGCAAAACAGAGTAAGAAAAATGTACATGAAGTTTGTATCATAAAATAGAAATCTCAGTAGTTACAAGGCATTCGTTTTTGCCTGGTCCAAGAAATTGAAACAAAATAAAAAGAGCTTTGGATCAGCTGGTGGTTAAAACTGTTGTGTTGTTGTCCCTTTCTCGTTTCCTTTTCTTTCATCTTTCCCGGTCTCCTATAACTGCTAAGAGAATGATGTTGAATGTCAAAGAAGCATAATTTTCAACGTTGCTTCTTTTTGTTTGTTTGTTTGTTTGTTTATTTTGTGTTTACTAACAGTGCTTCCCTTTGTTGTTGAAGGTTACTATGGAGAAGGGCTGAACGCCATCATCGTGTTTGCAGCATGTTATATGCCAGACAGCAGCAGGCCTGATTATAAATATGTCATGGACAACCTTTTCCTGTAAGTACCGTTCACCCAATACATGGACAACCTTAGGCAACACCAATTTAATTTGTTCGTTCTCGGATTCGCCTCTTAATTTTTTTCTGATTTGCAAAAAAAAAAAGAAGATTCTGGTTCTGAATCAACTCAAATATTTTGCCCCCAACAGTTGAGGATAGTCCTTTTCTTCCTACTTGTTACAGATTTTCCATCTATCAATGCAGTGGTTTGATAAAAGTTCAAAATTCATTGTTTAGATATTAACCCAGCCTTTTGTGTTTAATCTCCAAGCAGATCTTTCGGTGGCAAGACAGTATCCATTGATCCATTGGCCAGAGGAGTGTCCATTAGCCACCGAAGATCTGCCTGCAGTCGAAACGTCAAAGGCTATTAACACCTAGTTGTTGCCTGATCAAAATATTCTTGCCAAGTAGTTTATTGCCCTGACCACCAGGCAAGGCTCTTGCCCTCCTAGTGAGCCAGCTGGTTGAGCATTACAGGAAGTCTCTCTATGGGTCCCCTCACCAACTGTTATTTTGGACAGTTTAACTATAGGAAAAGAAGATTCAACACATGGTTTGTGATATCTGCAGTTTTGAACCACAAGGACCCCAGTTATTGACATTTCTATGTTTCAGCCAGCATATTTTAGTACCAGCATACAGTATTAGGCCACACCAAGTAAATTTTATGGATGACGTCCGCGCGCGCATTGATTTTGGCCTGTTCCTAGAAAAAAAAACAAGAAATTCCGCTTCCTGTAACTATGACCAAAGAGTCACGACAGTGCTGCAAATCGTCAGATTGACGTAAAACCCGTAACAGGAAAACAGGACAGGATGACAACTGCTGTTCCACCTGATTTATTGCTGTTTTGATGATGAATAAAAGACTTCTTGCTTGTTACACTGTGTCACCTCATTCAATTTGTGTCCTAACATTTGTCTAACATCTCTCAGACTCAGTATATTTCTAATCTAGGCATCTTGTTTTTTAGGGCCCTTCTTGTTTTTTTTTCGCCCTCTCGCATTAGATTTAGGGTCTCCAAAGGACGTCATCCATAAAATTTACTTGGTGTGGCCTTATCTGGACAGGGTTAGGTGAGAACTCCCACTGAGATGTGCGCGGGTGACTGCATTTGTCCCAGATTCAAGCTATAAACCGCTTGTAAAAATCTTAGCACAACAAATTTTTGATAGCTGTTAATAGGGGCACAGGGAGGGGCAGCAACACCATTTTTGAAAAGAGGTGCTCCTCCCTGTTCGAGTACCGGCAGATCTTCGGTGGCTAATGGACACTCCTCTGGCCAATGGATACTGTCTTGCCACCGAAAGATCTGCTTGGAGATTATTTTGTGTTGACTTCATGGCTCCTATCGTAGCATTTGGGGCTATAATAGTATGCCTAGACCTGTTTTTATTTTTTTTTCACCCTGTCGCTTCATATTTTTACTGAAAACATTCTGAGAGCCAACAAATTAAATTGTTGTGGCCTTAGTTGACCATGTTGATTTGATGATATGGATGACATCCCCTGGAAACCCCAAAACCGATGCGAGCATGCGAATAAAAAATTTATGTGGTCATGAAGATTAATGTTGAACAAAGGAATAAACACACCGAGTATGGTATGATGGTGAATAATAAACTCTTAATTTTCATGTCTTCACATTTTCTTCTTTTCTTTTGGAATTGATTTTGGCATTCTATGACATCAAGATTGTTTTCCAATATTTGTTACATATACTATGTACTATTGAGTTGAACATAATGACTGTGTTATGTGTTGCTGTAGGTATATAATAAGCACCTTGGAGCTCCTGGTGGCAGAAGACTACATGATTGTGTATCTCCATGGAGGCACGCCCAGACAGAACGTCCCTTCCATTGGCTGGCTCAAGAAGTGTTACCAGATGATTGACAGGAGGTGGGGACAACTTTTTATTCAAATTCAACTATGGGTCGTTCCATTCTTCAAGTTCAAGGAGGGGAACTCTTTTTTTGGAGAGGGAAAACAGTTCAATTCAGTGGGGAGATGGTCTCAGGACAAACAAAAAAATTGGCCTTTTATATGGTATAATATATGATGCTGTACAAAACAATGCTCTTTTAGTCGAACAATTATGATTATTTTATAACATGCATACACACTTCTCTAAACAACACACACACACACTCGTATATACACACACACTCACACACATGTCTGTCATTGGTGCTGAACACCATCCACACACAGGTGAACATGCCTGTCCTTGGTGCTGAACACCATCCACACACAGGTGAACATGCCTGTCCTTGGTGCTGAACACTATCCACACACAGGTGAACAAGCCTGTCATTGGTGCTGAACACTATCCACACACAGGTGAACAAGCCTGTCCTTGGTGCTGAACACTATCCACACACAGGTGAACATGCCTGTCCTTGGTGCTGAACACTATCCACACACAGGTGAACATGTCAGTGACTGTTAAATTTCTCCCGCTGATTGTTTGTTTGTTTGTTTGTTTGTTTTTAGGTTACGTAAGAACTTGAAACAGTTGCTGATCGTGCATCCGTCCTTCTGGCTCAAGACCATCATCCGTTTCACGAGACCCTTCATCAGGTAAGGCACTTATTCTACATCCTGTCATTTAATGTAAAAAACACCTGTCAGAGACCACAGTTTGGTCTCTAACCTGTGTTTTATACATTCTTGTTACAGTCGTATGGAGTATTTTTGAGTAATTTAATGTGAGTGTACTGAAATGATATTCATAGTTTATATCATTTAAGGTTTATACTGGTTGTTTAGTTGCCAATCTATATAACACATGTGTTGTTTCATACATGTCCTTAGCTAAGACGTTTGCATAATTATGAGACTATATTTGGTAACCTGAGGTTGTGTGTGCTTTCCTCTGCAGTTCCAAGTTCTACAGGAAGGTGGTGTTTGTGTACAGCCTGAGTGAACTGGCAACCAAAATTCCCATGGAGTACATCTACATACCAGAGCATATAAGGGAGTAAGTCTGAACTCTGACCCAACATGTGTCCTTGGGTCCACTTTGGCAAGGTCACACCAACTGTCTTGGTTCAAAAATAACTTTTTATATGTTTTTGAATAGCAAAGTTTTTTCTTTCACAACCATTTGTTAACAAGAGCAGACATTTCGATGACCGGCTGTCATCTTCATCAGGGCAATTATGATTGGTTAACTGTGCACTGAAGCATGGTGACTTTTACTTTTTAACCTTCATTGTGCTGAAGTAGCCTTTTGGCAACTAATTATCTATTGGTTATAGGATTAGGCAGCAGTGAGAAGGTTAAGAAAAAGGCTTTTTGCATGCACTTTTGAACTGAGTACTATGTTGTGTGACTTTGCTAAAGAATGGCAGTATGGCTTCTATTCACTCCCAAAGTGTTATGGAGGTTACAGTGGACACATGTTGTGTATATGGCTGTGTAACATGTTAGCCAGTGACCATACCCACCCATTTTTTTAGCTTGACAATTTGATTTGTAAAATATTTTGTATGTGTGGAAACAGGAAGATTTTTATGCATTTAGAACTATTAATTTGAGCTGAACAATTTTGATTTCATACAATCTGTTAAACTTTTTTATGTAGAAAAACAGCAATATTTTTCATACTCAAGTGTTTTTTTTTTAAGGTTGATAAAATGGGTAGGTTTGAAGCCCTGGCTAACAGTGTATAGCCTTGTATGATGTGGTATATAGAGGCACATGTGGGGACAACTTTCTTCACTCTTCACTGACTCACAGGACAACAACAGATGACTTTCCTCTCTCAACCACTGTTTTTATTCATTCTCTACTGTAAGGCTATCTTTGTACTATTATCAGAAGTCTATTTTCCAGTATTATTTCTTTCTTACCTCTCTTCTTTACCATTGTACTCTTCATGGTTCACATTTACTCAGTGGTGCAATACTTGTTTAAGACTTTCCCACCTGTTGCATTCTAAATCATAATTATCATTATTATGATATGAGATTTAAAAAATAAAGATGGCAATTAATACTATTATATAAGAAATTTTGAAACTTTTGCACTACTGGTAACCATTTTAAAAATAAATGAATTCACTGTGTCTGATTAGCCATTAACAGTGATATTATTGGTTTAATTTAAATATTTAAGTCTCATTAATTGTTATTTAAAATTGTATAATATTACGTTGCTTTCGTAAGCTTGTTTTAATGATTTTACAGCATGTTTTGCTTAATTTCTGTGACTGATTTTTGTCCTATGTTGTTTTCTTTTCAAGTTTTGATAGAAGAGTCACCAAGAAAAGATAGAAGTGTCAGGTTTGATCATAATCCATTGATTCTGTTTGCTTTCTTTGCATGGTTCTGGGTTGAAGTGTTCTCTAAGATTTCTTCTATTCTTTGGTACACACTTACTTAGATCTCTTCTGTATCTGTCATAGAATAGTAAAATGCATGAAGTCTTCCATTTTTTGTAGTGTTAAACTCAAGTCATGGTGCAATACCGTAGTTTGACAAGACTTCATTTTGTTGGTGCAAGCTTGTACAGGTATCAAAAATATTGCACAGTAGTGTGTGAACAATTTCTTTGTTCACTGTAGATTCGTTTATCTTATTTTTGCCAAATCTTACTATCCATAACCCCTTATATTAGGAAGGCCTGTTACAAGCTATGATACTCAGCTCACCCCTAACTGTGTTCCACAGATATGACAAGGACTTCCAGATGAAACGTTCCATGAGTTTCATCGCCGGCCCGGCTACGTCTCCGGTTGGGTCGCCAACGACGCAAATGCAGCTGAACAGACCCGGAGCGCGGCGACAGGACAGCGGCACGTCCAAAACCTCGTCCACGGTCAGCCCAAAGTCCGAGACCATTCCCGAGTCACCTCCAGGGAAGACTGGGAAAGTGGTGTAAACGGTCATCTGTATTGGTAGTTACATGTACATCTTTAGAGTTAAAACTTTATATCCAACACCTAAACTTCTCTCACCTAGAGCTTTCGACCAGTCACTCTGGTCTTCCTCAGTAGACTTCAAAGAAGCCATGTGACAAGCCTCACTGGGTCAGTCTACTGAGGAAGACCAGAGTGACTGGTCGAAAGCTCAAGGTGAGAGAATTTTTGGTGTTGGATATAAAGTTTTAACTCTAAACATGGTGCAAACAGTCTTGTGCAGCACGTTGGTTGAACGTACTGCGCCTGCGCGAAACCTGTAATGTATTATGCATAAAACACTTTGGCAGAACGTCTCATATAAGGTCATATTCGCGTAATATATAAGGTTAACATCCCGTCTGTTGTGTTGGAAAAGATATCATCTGCAACAGGCTAAATTCTCATGCAACGTTGACCAAAAAATCCATCGAAAACCGTGAGTTTTGCGCAAGCGCAGTACGTTCTGCCAATGTGCTGTCCGGTGCAGTTTAGGCCCAAGTCCCCAGTGTACATAATTTGATTTAGAGCTCGTGCTTTTGTAGTCATGCTCCTTTGTGTGTTGTAAGAATGCAGGTTTACTCTTTTGCATTGCAAAGTTTAACCTAAAGGGAAGAAGCAAAACGTGTTAAACTTAACAAGTCATATAGCACAAGGCCACTGCTTGTACTTTGCTGTGCTTGAAGCACAAAATGAAAGTATCAGCAAACCAATATTAGAATGATTCCTTGCATGCTTTGCAGAAGTTCAATCAGGAAATATAGTAATTTGTTTTGTGTGGCAACGCTCGCTTTAAATGTCCAACAGTTATAAAAATGAGCATTTTTTAACTTTAAAGTTAGGGATGAGTGCCATGAGTTTCCTGTGTCCAATTTTGGTGCTTGCAGAAATTAAGTTAAGAAAAGCATGTATTATTAGTTTTTGAATTGTACTACATGATTGTGATTGTGTACAATTCATCTGTAAAAAGTTGCTTTGGTCTCAAAACTTGCTTCTCATTTTTCGCTTGAGACCACATTGGTCTAAGTTGTATATTTCTTGGCAGCAGCATATTTGCGTAGTTGTTTTTATATAAAAGTTGTACAAAAATGTATGTATGGGGACTTGGTAATTAGTACACCTAGTAACTGATTTGCCATTGATGAAAACTCCTGGAAAGTTGAATTGTTGGAAGTTCTATCAAGATTTAAAAACTATCACAAGAAAAAAATGTAGCTTGTACATGTCTGTGAATAGAGTAAAATTGTGTTGTCACCTCTGTAGAAAATCAAAAAGGGCCTATAGCTACATGTTACTAGCTGCTAGTAGCTTGTTTGAACCTATGTCTTGTTGAAAGAAATGTTACAAAAAGTCTGTTTAATACATGCTAGCTATAGTTTGGTGAATACGTGAGCACAGTATATGCACAAAGTTTATTGTAACCAGATGATATAGACGTCTAGTTTTGCGCTATGAGAAATATTGTGGAAAAAAATCATGTTTGAATATAGAATCTACTCAGTAGACATATGATATGTTTGGAAGCAGGGTTCAGAAAATGGTTGTGCACAGAGTGACATTTTTTGGCGACACCACAGGAGTGGAGCCGGTAGCTGTGTATTTGTAGTGAATGTCAGTATACAAGATCCCTAGAATGTGTTACATGTAGAGTTTGTTTTACAAGTCCTGTCAACATGTAGTCTTTCAGATTGTTTTCAAGTCTGGTATAGGTCTGTCATAGCTTTGTGAAAATCAAAGCTAAAATGGATTTCAGCTTATTACTAACTATGACTGACACCAACATGTATAAGATACATTATGCAAAGGTTTGTGTATGCTTAAAATCTCGGATATCCCCTTCAAACAGTACTTAAAGTTGAGGAGACCAACTTAAGGATGATCCAACCAACTTAACGTCCTGTAGAAAAAGTTGTCCTCCCAAAAGAAAACCTTTGTTATATTTTCTCTGTATCCTACTTTAAAGTTGGCTGCTCTTTAACATGTAGTTGTGCTTTGGACGTTGTCATTTTCTTTGTTCACAGTTCTCACACAACAAAACCTGTGCACCTGGAATGTACCACTTTTTAATAGGGGTGTCTGTGTCTGCATATACTGTAGAGTCAGTTAGATGTCAGTCATTGTTTCTACAGTGTCATACTACATGTGATTGAGTACTAGTAATCACTAGCTTTGCTTTCTGTAGATCAGAAAGCTTGATTTGACAATTTAAAAGTTCACACCGACTTCTTGTACATGAATGTATGCACAATTGTTTCTATGTTTGAGTTGCACTGAACAGAATACCCTTATAGGAAATTATGTGCTAGATTATATTGTTGCAATGATGCTATATTTTGTTTGTTTGTAGATGGGCCAGGAAGGATTTTAGTGGCTGTGAAGCATTTCAAAAATTCACTTTATTATGAAACTCAATGTTTTGCACAAACGTCTAAAACGGGTGCCAGAGTATACTTAGCAATTTTACGGAATACAGTGCAATTTTACGGAATATAGCACAATCCGTAAAATTGCACTATATACAATACAATTGTACTGTATTCTGTAAAATTGCACTGTATACTAATACGAATGTGTTGTTTTCCGTAAATTGCATTGTATTCCGTAAAATTGCACTGTATTCCGTAAAATTGCACTGTATTCTGTAAAATTGCGCTGTATTCCGTAAAATTACACTGTACAAACTTACTCTGGCACCCCTGTAAAAAATGCAGACAGAAAAAGATATGAATTAAAGGTGCATACAGAAAAGCTTCACCAATAGCTGCCCTATGATTTTTCCTGGTCCAATCTTTGTCTTGTAAATTACATGCATCAATACATGTACTTTGTGTACAATATAGAGCAAGTGGCCGAAACTTTGTTTTACTTTGCAAAGTCAATCTTACAAATGTTCAAAAGCTGCAAACCGAAGTATACAGTCAAGTAATATCAATTTATTGTAGGTTTGTAATGCAGATTTTTTGGTATTGTATTGATGTCAGAGAAAGCTTTTTTTTTTCTCTCAAAGTGCAGGTTACTTAGCAATCAGTTGTATCAGGCCATAGTCTTTGTGGAAAGTTACATTTGTACAATGTGTTACCATATATGCTGTGCAATCTGTGATTTTTGTTAGACCGTCAAGCTGCAATGAGAGGAAGATCTATTTGACTGTTATCACAGATGGAAAAAAAACAATAAACTTTCAGCGTAACTAAGTGTGTGCCTCAATTGTTTGATTTGTATAAGCATTGTTTCATATTGGGAGCTGTCAAAGAAGCTTAGCATATCCTCAAATTGTACAATATTCCACTGAAAATATTTCAACTGAGTATTTCAATTGTAAATGAGGTGTTTAAGAGTTTTAACTTGTATAAATGGTAATGTTTTTCAGAGACGATTGGTTTCATGAACACTGATGTTGCAGGTACATTTTCCAAAAAAAGCTCCATTTTCAGCCGTTCGTACAAGCCGTTCTAGGAAAGTTTCTCTTAAAATGAACAGATACAAGACTAAAAGGGTTCTTCCCCAATAAATTCGTGACATTTTGGTAGGCGGGGTGAGCCTCAAGGTCAATAACAAGAGCGAAAAAGACCTGGAGTAAAACCCCCATAAGAGCCCATCGCGTTTCCCCACTCGCGAAATGGCCAAATCTGGGAATGAGCGAGGCTTCGTTAGCGAGATACGGGCCTTTTCGGAACGGGGGCTCCAAAACGGGGGTGTGATAGGGGATGAATTTCTGCTTTTTCAATTTTAGAAAAATGAAACTTTTGACATTTTTCGGTTACCTATTTTTTATAGTATACTCCTTGTGATCTCTATTATATTCCTGCTTAATGTCCTCCAAAGAATTATCTTCATTCTCGAGTTATACGTGAAAATGTGTTTTTGCGATCAGCTGATCGCTTGCAGAAGTGGTCACAGTATTGCAGAAGTGGAGTTTTCGCTGTCGGAGACATTACCATATGAATGAAAACCAAGCAGATGTTAGAGGGGATGGCATGTCATTCGGTGATATATGGGGCCTGTGACGTAGTAGTTTATGACGCAGGGCTGAGTAGCCAGTTTAGCCTCTACCAGGCTTCGGGAGGCAGCTCGGGAAAGAGTAGAAATCGGCCAAATAGAGCGATAGCATGCCAGGGGAGTTGGTCTGCTGGAGAGAACAGTTTGCCGCTTTTGCCTCATTTGGCCGATTTCTACTCTTTCCAGCTGCCTCCCGAAGCCTGGTAGAGGCTAAGTTTAGATCCTTAGCTCAATTAATATTGTTCATTAGCATTAGCCAATAGTTTGTTAGCTGATGAGAGCAGCTGTTAAGAATAATTAGCTAGCCCGCTTGCTTTGAATTCAGTCGAGATCAGGTCCCAGGTTAGTGAACCAGGTCGTGTGGCATATTCGCGTGGGCGGCTAGTCGGCAAAACATTAGTGTAACTCTAAAAAGTTTAGTTCTTCTTGAGGCTTCAAGTTACCGCCCCAGTAAGTGTGCAAGCTACTCAGTTTTGGTGAGTCTGTAATTGTATTGTTGTCTTCCTTTACCCTTGATTGTCCTAAATTATCCCGACTGCTGAGTGTGCCTCTCTGTAACTTGTAAAAAGCTCGTTCCGTTTGTCCCCAGCCTGCCCGTTGATTGTTATGTACGGATTGCACTGCTTTACATGTGCACGATTGTTGTATGTACGTGGTGCGATTCGACCGAATAAACCAGACTGTAAACCAATATACTTGGCCTTGTGTTGGTGATAAAAGAGCCGTAGTTCTATACCGCAAGACCCACATGCGACAGTACAGTAAGATTGGGCTAAGACCTCATAATATCAGATGTAAACATTGCCGCCTGAAATAGGGGCTGGCCGCGGACAAAACAAGGCGATGGCAGGGAAATCGGCGGCCCTCGACTTCAAGAACCACATCCTGAAGAACTTCGGACTTCTGTAAGTCACTTACGGCTCCAAGAAAACCGTGGCGATAGCTTCCACCTTGGTAAAAACGAGGACGAAGTGTTTTCACGTTTGTTTTTTGGTCAGCGGCAGCCATGATGATGATACAGGGGCTGTACCTCACACTGGGACCTGTTTTGAAACCGCAACTAGACAGGTCAGTGAGGGCCTCTAGCGATTTATCTTAGAGCTGCAGTAACAGAATGCGGGTGTCACAGACAACGTTGGGTCCCCGTTTCCCTGTCTCCCCTTTACCATATATGGAATGCAGGTGTCGCGGACAACGTAGGGTCCCAGTTTTCCGGTCTCCCCCTTGACCATATATGGAAACCTTTACCATATATGGAGGTGCTTGCCAGCAAGAGGTTTGGACTGCAGTAATATCCTTCCGCAGTTAGGCGGCGCTTTTGAGCCGTGAGCTGAGCCAACGGAGATTAGCAGCATAGCTAGCACGCTATGCTTTGCATAGGATCGAGAGTGGATGCCAGACACCAGCGCGAGACGATTCTCCCTTCGACCGGGGGACGCAACACGGCCCGAGCCCAAAATTGGCGGCCGGCATGGCTTCTAATCTATCCGTCGGGCGATAAAGGACTTTGGGAAGGATGCCAACTTTACGTGTGCCGTGAGGCGAGTCGAGATATGATGCCTGGGAGCCGGTAGTGACCGTCGTGGAGGACCGGTTGACCAGTCGCCCGTTGGTCGGTAGCGACTGTGGGAGCGGACGTAAACTAACCAGGACGGTACCCAGGCTACCCGGTTGACGGGATCAACAAACGCTGGGCCCCCGGCGCTAGAAAGGACTGTGAAGTCCCCACACTAGGGTATTATATTCCTAATTCCGTGCGTAGAATACATGTAAGGCTTTGCATGCCATCACTCTCCTCCCCCGTAGCGGCGGGGCGTATTGCTCTTGGGTACCGAAGGAAAACGGCTCACGGCCCGATACTAGTCTGGCTCGTATTGTAGCTTGTCCCGTGCCAAGGACTGTACTCAGTGAATTAAACAACAATCGTTCAGCATATTCCTACTTGTTATCCGTTTTATTGTTTGTTAACGTTTAGGTTTAGACTAGTTTGCCAAAGTGAGTGGACGTGTGCGTGTATGAATGGGGCGGGTGCATGGATGCCAAAAAAAAAAGCGGCGCTTTTCAGCCATGAGCCCCGCACTCAGAAGAGAGGCGGTCGGCCTAACAGTGAATCAACCAAAGCGGTTCAGCTTTATATATTTCCCTGTAAACATGTATTTTCCGTTCAGCTGTGTGTATGGGCTAGCTAGTAAAGCAGCAATGTACATTCCATCATCGTGTGTATACAGATAACTTTTTGGACTGAGTGAGCGAGTGCCGAGTGAATAAAGAAGCAAGAGTCAAGTCAAGAGCCTAAGTATTCATTTGATCTGGGAGGTGTATGTGAATGAAGGTGTAAAATCAACGGTGAATGAACCGGTACGATGGCATATTTTCACGCCAGACTACGTGTATTTTGCTTGCGGTTTGGTTCTGTGACCCTCTGGGCCTGGCAAATGTTTCTAGATAGCTGTCCTAACATCTGCTTGGTTGCCATTCATATGGTAATGAGCTCGGCAGCGAAAACTCCACTTCTGCAAAGGCAGCGACGCGTTCTGCAAGCGATCAGCTGATCGCAAAATCACGTTTTGGCTCATAACTCCAGAATAAAGCAACTTTGGGCGAAGAAACTTCGCAGGTATGGAATAGTGTTTGTAAGGAGTATACTGTGTCTATAAGGAATCTTAAAAATGTCATAAACTTAATTTTTCTAAAATAGAAAATGCGGAAATTCATCCCCTATCACACCCCCGTTTTCGGGTCCCCGTTCCGAAAAGGTCCGTATCTCGCTAAAGAAGCCTCGCTCATTCCCAGATTTGGCCATTTCGCGAGTGGGGAAAGGCGACGGGCTCTTAAGGGGGTTTTACTTCAGGTCTTTTCCGCTCTTGTTCTTGAACTTGCGGCTCACAACAACTACCAAAATATCACTAATCTATCGGTAAAGAACAATTTTAGCCTTGTATCTGTTAATTTTGAGCAAAATATTCGTAGAACGGCTTGTACGAACGGCTGAAAATGAAGCTTTTTGTCAATATTTCTTACCATTTCAGTGTTCACGAAACCAATACTATTTATTAGCTGACCGTAAAAAAGCCTTTTATATCATTCTATAAGCACCTAAAATAATGAAAACACAATGAAAACAACAAGCATTTCTCCTATACAAGTACATATAATTGTATTTATAGAAATAGCTAGAAATTGATACAATTTTTAGTTAATAATAGTAGGTTATGTCTCGAAAGTTTGTACAAAATATACAACATTAGAGTATTGGTAATATATTTAAAAATGTATTTTTATCTAAAAATATACATGTAATATAATAGCCATTTCATTTTTGTACAAAATCTAATATTTTCAATTATGTACACATGTTGAATAAAAGTACATTTCTACATAATAAAACTACTAGTATATGACACCAACTAACATTACCAACTATCATTTAAAATGTGTTCAATTTGCACAATAGCTGATGAATTATGTGGCGTCACCTACTAGTACTTCTTTGGTACAACATTTATATACAAACTGCACAATATCAAAACATTTGACATCAGACATTTCTATATCGTTTGTTGGTCAGATTTTCCCCATTATGACAGTCTACCTAAAAGTTTTGTACAGAAAAAAAATGCACTAAACTGCCATTATCATGTTTAGTGCACATTTCACTACTGTAACAATTTCTTACATTCAAGACTTCTGTTTAACATTCAAGACTTCAGAAAAAAAAATATACACCTTTTAGAAACAAATTATATAATACTATATACTGTATTCCTTTGGAGGACATGGTAGCCTTAAATTCCTTATTGCAACCTTAAGTTACTGTTTTGGTACATGAGGGTTTGTGAAGTTACAGGCTAAACGACTGATTCCTTGGGCTCCGGACCCACTTCTCGGCCTGGCATCTAGAAGTTCCTGTCTATCCGAAGAGCTAGACTGTACATTATCACTAGGATCTGTGTTTGACATTTGTGACATTGCAACTGATGTAGGTTTTGCAGCAGTAGACTGTTCACTGTCTATATCTAAGCGTAGAGTCTTCGGGATTATACGTGTAGGTTTGGAAGGTGTTTCCTGACTTCCAGCTCTGTCGTCATTCTTACCGAGTTGAGAAACTCTTTCATCATGATCTGAGGAACCAACAGTTGGTTTGCTGCTGACAGAGTACGGAGTGTTCGGTGGACAAGCTGGCTCTGTTGTCTCTGGCCTGTTTGGTGTAAGCTCAGTGTCCTGGGAAGTTACTAGGGAATCACAGTCAGCTGGCAGATCTGAGGTTGAGAAAAATATTCAAGATTCATTGATTAGATTCTGTAGAATATGAAGCCATTTAAAAGAATTAGGATATGATAATGCTACAAGAATCTAGACTTTTTCTACATACAGTTGTAGTAAAATGTTACACCAAAGAAAAAAAAGGGACTGGACAAGTCCTTTATATTAATAACAAGAAACAGTCATGCCTTCAAATATCTGTCATCAATCAAGAATTGAGGTGTTCAAACCATCAAGCACAGTTGGGACATCATCACTAGAAAGCTTTAAACATAACCCCTGCAGTTGAATGTGCAAAGATTGAGTGTAACAAGTTGTTCGGTGTGATATACTTAGTAGCTAGCTGCCGCTGCGCCGCGTGCCTGCGAAGCTGGTGTGTTATGCTGAAGGGCAGTTATACAGATACAGATGGACAGAGAAAGTCTTACCCCAGTTTGCCATGGCCATATCTGGTCCCAGTTCCAGACTGTCCATCCCTGAGGCCAGTCCCAACTCTCCCTGTGCCCAGGTCCTGTACAGGTCCACACTCTGGGACAGGGTGTTGGTGGGGACGAAGCTTGGCATCTTCATAACCGGTCCAGGCCGGTCTGTACGAGATACAACCGGTCCAGGCTGGTCTGGACGACCCACGGCCAGTCCAGGCTGGTCTGTATGACTCACAACATCATCTGCAACTTGGCAGGACCCAATAGGAGTGGTGGGAGGATTGGCTGTGGAATAAAAATGACACATGTTTAAATAGCAACAAAAGTTCAATTTTCATATTCCTTATGTAACTAGATAAACCATGTATTCTAAAATCCAGTGTAAAAGTACCTAGAACTTTGCTGTAAGAGCATGAAATTGAGCAGTAAAGATCTTTGAAAACTGGACATAAAAACCAAAACGGTTCAGGAAAGTGCTGTTTCTACATGGTTACTGTAAGACAATTGGACAACCACTTTCTGTGTGGCATTTTAAAAAAATACACAAGACAGAATTTGGAACTATTGTCAGTTGATACATTGTACCACGAGAAATGACAAGTTTGAGAAGATTACGTGAAAGTGATCTCGAACCATTTTAGCTCATTGAAGAGCTAATCTTCTACTGGTCGTGACAGAGAAGACAGACGCTATGTACAGTATTTACAGGTTCATTGTACCGGGGAAATTCCCCTAGCTCTTTTTGACAAGCGCAATGAACAGTGGACCACAGCTTAACGTCCTGTCCGAAGGACTGCGACCCTAAACAGTAGCGTGCATGTCGGGTGAGCGACATCAGTCGGGATTCGAACTCCCAACCTCTTAGTTCAGAAGCAAGATACATACCCTTTTCTTCCCCCCTCTCCAGTTCCTCCAGCAGTTTCCTCATCTTCTCCAAATCTCGTGGGTCTGACACTTCCGTACTGGCCTTAGTGGACTGTGCGCTGTCTGTAGGTGGGGAGGGGGTAAGGGCACGAGGGGGGGCACCAGGAGGGGGCGGGAGGACGCTGGAAGAAGGTTGGACAGCTGTAGCGCTGAGACAAGAGGCTACTGAAGCCTTGAGGCTGCTGGGTTGTAGACTGATGAGGGAGGCATCTTGAATAGAAGTCGGTTGACCAGAGACTGTGAAAAATAAATGACAAACCATTTTGGATCGTTTTACCCCCGTATGTTTCAAAGTAAAAATAATTGTTAGTCAGTAGTTACAAGTGTCATGAAAACTTGACAACGTACATCATACAGACTATTAATGATTGCTACTGATTTTGTCTTGCAGAAAAAGAGTTTTTAATTCATGTATGCATGTTTTACTCTCCAAGCAGAGGTTTGGGTTTTGGGTTATTTTGGCGTGTTTTTAGCCTGTAGAAGTTGGGTTGGGTGAAGCAAAAAAGAAACCCAGATTTAAAAAAGTCTGAAAACATGCCAAAAATAACCCAAAACCCAAACCTCTGCTTGGAGAGTATGCATGTATTACCTTTTGAACCTTCACTGCAATAAATGGTCACTAATATAGGAGTCCAGTAAAGTCAAGAAACCTTTGACCCAGTAGTGTTGATGTCACACTTCAAAGAAGCCACGTGACAAGCTTCACTGGGTCAGTCTACTGAGGAAGACCAGAGGGACTGGTTGAAAGCTCTAGGTGAGAGAATTTTTTTTTGTGTTGGACCAAAAGTTTTAACTTTAAACATGTAACTGACCAACACAGATGAACTTTCATGACAGTATAAGAAACAAACTCATAGATCTCCTTACCTTGCTGGTGCACTTCACATGCGATGTCCAGTATAGCTTGCGCCTGTGGTCGTTCTTTCCGACACTGGTTAAAACAGTGGCCCAGTAGTTGTCTGAGTGACCCATGGGTGGTGTGGGGGATGTCGTCCAGGATTCTATGTGGGTAGGCTCCAATCTGAAAATTCAAGCAAACAAAAAAAATCAACCTAAATCCTCAACTTAGGTCAAACCAATTTAATGTGTTGTTTCTCAGATTTGCTTCTTCATTTTTTTTTCTGATTTGCAAAAAAAAAGATTCTGGTTCTGAATCAACTCTACAGTTGAGGAAAGTCCTTTTCTTCCCAATTGTTACAGCTTTTCCATCTATCAAAATAGTAGTTTGATTAAAAGTTCAAAATTCATTGTTGAAATATTAACCCAGCCTTTTGTGCTGACTTCATGGCTCCTATCATACCATTTGGGCTATAATAGGATGCCTAGACCTGTTTTTATTTTTTTCCTTTTCGCCCTGTCGCTTCATATTTTTTCTGAAAAAATCAGAGAACCAACCAACCAATGAAACTGGTGTGGCCTTACCTGTCAAAAATATTACAAGTAAGGGCAAGTGTTAACAGAATTCTACTGTACGGGGAAAGCTAAGTTTTAAGTTATGTCAAACCATAATATGCAGTATTTTTACTACAATGAAATAGTTTTAGAAAAGTGTTACTAGAACCAAAATACAATCATTATGTAGTTGTTACGTGTATCACTAAAAACCTGTTACAAAAATAACTGAACTTGTGTGGCATTTAATGGGTAAATTTTAGCTACTTTCAGCTGCATACCTGGTAAATAAGTTGGAAGCTGCGGACGGCATATTTCTGCCAGGGGTGCCTCCCCGTGAGCATGTGCAGAGTGGTACAGCCCAGGCTCCAGATGTCTGTAGTACAGTTGTGTTCCTCGGCACGCGCCATCTCTGGACTCATGTGGGTTGGGGTACCCTGTAGTACAACAAGTATCACCAATCTCATGCTAACAAGTACTGTAATTTAATCTATAAAATCACTTTATGTTCACGGTAGGAAAAGTCTGAATAAAATGGACATGTCCGTGGAACTATATGTTCACGGTGGCAGTGAGCAAAAAGAAAGTCGGCAAATTATTTGTTGATGATAATGATTATCAGTATAAAGTTCTCAGTACTAAAGTGACTGCAAAAACTGCAAAAAGTACCTCAAAAGTATGGTGATTTACAGTATAAATGGAGTATGATATTGATGTAACAGTGGGGAGTTTATAGGCGCTACCAACTGACCCGGCCAATGGGTCTAGACCTTTTAACGGAGTGGTTAGAGCATCTGGTTATGACGCTCTGGTGCCCGGGAGGTCGTGGGTTCGAACCGGGCCGGCCTGGGACCAGAAGGGTTTTTTACTGGCTTCTCCTGTTTCTTACATTGACACCATACATGTACATGTATTAACAGTGTGTAAGATATAAGTACATTGTGTACTGTAATTCACTGTAATGATAAGTTCACAGTGCAATTTGAAGTCACTGTGTAAACCATGAACTTGTAACAGCAAAGACAGTTCTTTAGAATTAGCCATATGATAACTGTTATTATTGTGTTAACCTTCTACCTGCTGTAAAATCATGTAACCAATGATATACAAAATGGCTACTTCAGTGTGATAAAGGTTAACGTACCTTAGGTTCTCTCTCTTCCTCGTGAACCCACTTGTGGCCTTTAGGGATCCTGGTGGCGGAGCCAAAGTCGATCAGTTTCACCTGGACCCTGTCTGGTTCTGTGTCGCTGACTCGGCATAACACAGCATTGGCAGCTACGAGACAAGAAACAAAAAAACTAAGATTTGGGTATAAATTCAGCACCAAGGACAGGGCATGTGTGAAAGTCCCATTGTGGAAAGTATGATGTACACAACAGCGAAAACAATCAACATTTGGACACAAAATCAGTACCAAGGACAGACCATAAACCATAGTAGAATGAAAAGAAATTTTGGGAAAATGATAAAGGAAGCTAGAGGGCAGAAAGAAAAATTGCATCACAAAAAACCAACAACTTGCATTCTGGTAACCTAAACTTTTTCCCATTTTTATCAGTCAAAATGGTTGTTAAAACCAGTCAAATCCATGTATAATATCCACAAATATATACTATAATCCCTGATCTCATATCTGACAACATTTTTTCACAAATGCTCTTTAACACCTTTAACAGCAATCAAAACAGTCTATTGAAATTCAATAGACCAACCCCAACCCTGTAGCTGACTAGTGAACCATCCCCTGACAGTAATATTTGCCCTACCCTTGACATCTCGGTGAACGATCCCCAGCTTGTGCAGGTACACCAGCCCTTCCAACAGTTGTATGGTGATGGCCAGGGCCGTGGGTTCTGACAGACCAGCGTTCTGGTTAATCACCCTCTCTACTACTTCATCTGTGGAAGAAATGAGAAAATGTTTTGCATTTTAGATAATTTCCTAGAACACTACGATCTATACAACGTTATGTCTAACAGAATTAAATTGCCTTCAAACTACATAATATAAAAAATTTAGATAATTTAGATAATTTTCTAGAACACTACGATCCATGCAACATTATGTCTAACAGAATTAAATTGCCTTCAAACTACATATAAAAAATTTAGATAATTTAGATAATTTCCTAGAACACTACGATCTAAGCAACTTTATGTCTAACAGAATTTAATTGCCTTCAAACTACATGTAAAAAGAATTTATGGTTGCTGAATTTTTGGCTATCACTACAACCTTACTCAAGAAAACTGAAACACCATCTTTGTAGACATTGACATAAATAAAGAAAAAAGTTACAGCCCAAAGTCTGAGCCAATTTGTGGGTTTAAAATTGGTGGGCCCTGATATTTTCATAAATGAAGTTTTTTTTGTAAACATTATTATGCTATCAAGTAAGGGTACATGTGAGTAAAAGATAACCCAAACAATTTACATTGAGAAAGTTGACAAAGGCTAGACATCCAGGTAAACAATATTCGAAGTCAAATCAAGCTCTTAGTAACAACTGGAGATATTACGGAGATTATTTCCAGGCATTTTGAGTGACACAGCATCACAAAAATGAACTAGTTGTCACTTTTCACATATGAAGAAACTATCTAAAATTTGCTGACTCACCGCCCAGATACTCAGTACAGATGTGCATGGTGTTTCCATCTCTCACCACAGCCAGCAGTTTTACTACAGCAGCATGGTCCAACTGGGCCAGGATCTCAACTTCATCTGCCTCAAACCTGTCCATATCCACCTAATCAGCAATAGGGACAGCAGGAAAAATAATGGAGAAAATTCCATTTTATAGGTAAAACAACACGCAACAGTAACATAAAGGCAGGCAATTTGTAATATGTTGCCAATTTGAAATGATTTTGTTTACAGAGCACAGGGGTACTTCTCAACTTTAGAAAAATTGGTGTAAATAGATCTGCAAAGCAGCATCCTTGTATAATGCAAGGAGTCTTTGCTATATTTAGTAAACTGTACATCTGGGATATTCTGCATAAGAGATCTCTCAAACATGCCATTTTTCAAAGTGACAGATACATGTAACCCGGCAGATACTAGTAAAGGTCTATTGAGATTATAGCATTTTGTGATATTCTGTTAACAAAACACACAAGCTACCAAGATGGTGACAACAAAAAATCCAGCTGGGTTCCTATATCCTGTAGGCTGATGGCCTATACTTGTCCAATACTTCAAGCAGAATTAAGATCAGTTCAATTTTCTCACCTTCTTCACAGCAAAGTAAGGCTGCGGCTGCCCCAGGTGAACTGTTCCAAACGTGCCCTGGCCGACCGCGCCAATGTCGTCCCAGGTCCACTCAATGTTATCCATGAAGAACCCGTCCCTTCCCTCTGGCACCCTACCATCTTCCCGTAACTGTGTCCACATTTTACAGTAGTGTGCCACTTGGGATGGGCTTATGGTATGGATCTGTCTGCTGGGAGACCTTTCTGTTGATACACTAGCATCAGTTCCATCTCTGGCATCATTTACGTGCAAAGATGTTGGCCTTTCAATGCCACTAGCTTCTTCCTCTATCTCCTCTACATATACCACACTCCTGTCGTCGAGTTCTCTTTCTGAAACTGACTGAGTGGCACTTTCCTTTGCTCTACGTAGGAAGTCTTGGAAAAGTCTTATAACTTCGTTGTATTGGCTACAGGACTGTGCAGCGTTTTTGTGTGCCATGTCCAGTCTGGTAGCCAGGTTTTCTAGGTCCGAGCCAGTGTGGTGCTCCTCTCTTAGTTGGTGCGCTGTGATTCTCTGTACAGTTCTGGCTGTGTCCTGAAGGTTACTGACTACAAGGGTGTGGTTTCTGTGGTGTTGTTGCAACTCCTTCACTTTGTCCTCTGCTTCCTTGATCAGCATGAGGTCATTGTCCTCCTGGTCGTTAACCTCTCCATCTTCTACATAACCTTTTCCCAGCTTTCCCGTTGGACCCTCTGCTCCAAAAACTGCGGTGTCGTCAACAACGTCTTTTACTTTCTTGGACCCTTTTTCAAAGTCTTGGTCTTCTTCTTCCTCTAATGAGCCAGCATCTTCTTGCTCCTCGTAACTTTCACTTTGCTGCTCTTCTTCTTCATTAAGGTTCTCAGTGGCACTTAAGGATTCATTCTCTTGGTCATCTTCTTCTAAAGTTTCAGCCTCTTCTTCTACATCATTCTCCCTCTGTGGTCCATACAGCGATAAGTTATCCTTAACAAAGTCTTTGGATGTGGCCAGTGCTGCCTTATCCTCTGTGGTGTCTAGCACAAGGACTGGATACTTCACTTTTTCTCTGCTTCCTTCTTTGGTCACAGTATTTTCAGGAGTCCTGTTGTCCTTTGCTGTAGCTAAGGCCACTTTTTCTTCACTCTGGTCCATGGCTGTGACTGGAATCTCCTCTTGGGTGCAAATATTTTCTGTCATGTCTTTTTGTGTAGATGTAGTTGTGGTGTCATCTGTGTTAGGGATCTGTTTGCCTTTGTCGTTGGTTGGAGAGTGAAGTAAACTGTCGCCAGCACCATCCGGAGGGCCTCTCTCAGTCTCCATACTGCTTCAAAATCTGTGGGAGGACATAGAAATGTGTAATATGTGTGTTAGGCATAAACTGTTCTCACACCTTCAAACTGTACATACCAAATTACATGTACATTTGTACTATGGGGTCCCTTTCTTCACATGTAAAATGTTGTGCTTGTGTTACTGTACCTTTTTTTAACCCTGCGGTCGTGTGGCGTAGCGGCAGGGTGCTCGACTTGTAACCGAGAGGTCCCGGGTTCAAGTCCTGATATGCCACCGATCTTGTGCCCTTGGGAATGGCACTAATTTACATGACTTTCCGTTTCTTCACTTAAAAATGAAAATGAGTATTGTCCTGTTCCGTATTTGTCCTCTCTCTGCGTTGGTGTGCCATCACCATGTCTAGTCATGAAATGTTGGAATAAAAAAAAAACTTTAAAAGCTTACAAGAGATGGAATTCCAGTGGATAGCCTGAGGTGCCAGACCTAGCCTTGTGGTAAACACGATACTGTACTAAAACCAACTTTAGTGGCCAAAAGAAGGCAGGCAGATCCCTTTGTTATCAACTTAGTTAACAGAATGTGGCCACTATCTAACGTTACAGAACTAGTGAAATGTTAAAAACATACACACTTTAAAGTGAAGGACACAAATAACTTTAACAAACCTTCTTAGACATTTTAGCAGCCTCATACAGTCATTACAAGTAGAAAACTTGTGGTTAGTTTCGTGATTACGTGTCCTTATACTTAAGTATACAATTACACTTCCTCATACGAACAAGTTTCACTTTCTATTCCACCTTAACACCTTCTACTCAGTACCGACAATTCACCTGTACATACCTGTACAACACCTGGGGCAATGCCTCTCACTTTCTAACACCTAATCTTCAATAAAAAAGTAATGTTTCTTCAGAAAAGTAAGACTTTATGGCATTTCTTTGTAAACTTGACCAAGACAAGATGGCGGTGTGGAAATCCCCTGCGAAAAACACAGGATCACCTGACCGTGACGTTTGCACTACGTCAGGTGTTTTTTGTTTTCACCTGAAGGGTCAAAGGGCAACCAATAGGAGATCTTTCAAATTAGGTCAGCTGATGTTTACACTATACACAATGGGCTGGGCTTACTTTAAAGATTTGTCTTTTATTTGGTCAACTTTCTACAGGAGACGTAAAGTTACATTGATAATTTTGAATCCATTTAGCACATTGAAGTTATGCTGGGCAGTTTTAAACAACAACTTGAGTTATGCAAATATGCAAAAGTGTAAAAAGTTATTATCAAATATCCTGTTGCTGTGTACCTGCAAAGTTCAGGCGTTCATACACTAAACAATGTGACATTACATACAAAGTTTGGATTTAAAAAATCTTGTTAAATCTGTTGCAATTTGTGGTCAATTAGACGTAAGAGAATGTTAGAGAACATTGATGTTACATATAACAGTTAACTGTTAAGGTTATAATTGTATAACGTTATGCATTTAACTTTAAACCATAACATTGGGTTTTCTATATCCACACTGTATATCCAAATAAGCAGTCTGAATTAATTTGAACCTCTTTGGTACTCAATTTTGGTTGGAAAAGAAATATCAGTGTTAGGTATGGTTTTTTTTTTTGTGCCCAAATGCTAAGATTGTGGTGGTTCCAACCCCGTTCAGGTTCGGTTTGAGGGATTGCAATTGTCATTTTGGATCGTATTTCTGTCATTGGAAGAGGAGCCCCACACGGCCCCCACTCTAGAAACATTGTTTACAAATCATTTCACGGTCAGTTAGCAACAGGAGGGACAGTTTAATCCCTACACCTCAGGGGAGCAGGCCAGGACTTGCCTCGAGCTCTCAAAAAAGCCATTGTTCTACCCATGGAGGAGGGCCTGCAAGCCCTTTTTCGTAAGGCGTAATCAGGCCCTTTTAGCCTTCGTAATCCGTAGGCGGCCATCCAAAATCATCGTAATTCGTAATCGGTACATTAGCCGTAACGCGTAATTGGTCGTTTTTATTCTCCGTAAAGCGTAATTAGTTACTTTTATGCGACGTAAAGCGTAATCCATGAGATCATAAGAGCGTAGGCTGACTTCAAAATGGTCCAATCCACAACCGATAATGCCGTCCAGTCAAAATGTAGGTCTCAAAATGCTGGAAATAGCGTTTCAGGCTGGTTAAAACTAAAATTTCCCGGGGGGATGCCCCGGACCCCCTAGCAGACTCGCGCCTGCGGCGCTCGCTGACGGACACCTTCGGCGCCCGAACTTGAATCTTCGCCCCCCCCCCAAATCAAAATTTCTAATCTCGGTCTTTGTGTAGTGATATTGCCCCCGTTCTGGCAGATGAGTGAGTTGGGACACCATAAATCGGGCCTGGTCTAGGCTGAATCAAGGTGAATGGAGTGCCCCACGACTAGGAAGCCAGTATCCACAGCATGTTCCTCTATCGCCATGGCTCAGTGGCGCGCTCGAAACTCGCTGATCGGCTTCACCTTCACCTATCGCCCGGTGCCTTCGGCTGCCACCGGTTCGAACCCGATTTCGGGTGATTTTGGCACTCGCCAGAACTTGTCTTCACTCCTAAAAAAACTCCTGGATCTAGCGCCTATGCGCCAATCAACACAAAGGCAATAGTTTTGACGTAGAACTATTAGTTGCTGTGTTTTAGACGGTCGGGAATCCTCATGATTTAACGTAATTCGTAATCAGCTCTGAGAATTTAACGTAATTCGTAATCGGCGGCGAAAATTTGGCGTAATTCGTAATCAATACCCCCCCTTGCAGGCCCTCATGGAGGTTTTTTACCTCCATGTTCTACCACAGCACAGAGCGGCAAACTTTCTTTCCTCCTCTAGCGCAGTTTTTAACCTCTTTGAGCGGACCAACGAACTTTCAAATACATATTTGAATCTCCTCAAGCGGACTATTTAACTACACTGGCATTTTATCCATCTACTAAAGTTTGTAGCCACCTCTAAAGTCTGGTACCGTTAGAACTTAGAGAGCATGGGTTTTTCTGCCATGGTTTTTAGAGGCTAACGTTATAGGGCTAATGCCAGGGCCCCCGGCCTTCGACTTATAAAACATCTTACACCCGTTTACTACCCTTCAGTAACTTGTCTTATCGTTAAAACAGAAATCGAAGGATCAGGAAGCGTACAAACCACGCACAAAGCCTGTTTAGGCGGTATTTTCCTTTACCTACCTTGTAAAACTCGGTCCCGCTACTTCCTGGTTCAGCTCCGTTCAGCTATATCCGCTAGGTGTCGCTTATACAACAGTATTTTACTACTCTCCAAGCAAAGGTTTGGGTTTTGGGGTGTTTTTAAGGTGTTTTTAGACTTTTTTGATCGGGAGTTCTATTTTTTGCACTTTTTTGTTCTTTTTTTCACCTTTAGATTAGGTGACAGAAAAATTTCATTGCAATAAAGAAACCCCGTTAAAAAATGTCTAAAAACACGCCAAAAGTAACCCAAAACCCAGACCTCTGCTTGGAGAGTAGTATTTTACGACAGTCGCAAACCGACCTGACCTGAGTGACCAAAATGGCGGCGGACGCGGGAAACTTGGTGACCGAACAGCTGATCGAATGCATGAATTTCGCGGCCGTGAAGCACAAGAATCAGCGCAGGAAAGATCCCGACAAGACTCCGTACATCAACCACCCTATAGGTAAATATTTCAGATACTCTTGGCCTAGAAAAACTTGTACGATCTCGTTCCGCAATTTTTTTCCAACTAAGCCTTGTTCCCACTGTGGCTTGTTCCCACATTCTATGTTCCCAACGAAAGTTCACACCAGATTGTGAAGAAAGACTTCCCTGTGTTGTATTTTGTGTATCTGCAGGTGTCGCCTACATTCTGATGAAGGAAGGTGGAATCACAGATGTCCAGGTGCTACAGGTGAGTCCAATTCAGCAGGTGCAAATAAAATATTAACAGGTGTCAAATGCCTCTGAAGTTTTCTTCTTCTCCTTCTTCCTTTAATGCCCAGGATCATGACACACTGTGATCATTCAAGTGCCTTTCGATGACATGGCAGGATTCGAACCCTGAACCGCTTGGTTCTGATTATAAAGCTCCGTCTGTCATGTACTAGTAGCTGTTGTTGTCTTGAATGTGAATTGTACCGGCTATAATTTTATATCAAGAAGCTTGCTTATACATTGTAACGCTACATTGTAACGTTACATCTTATTGTCTATTTCTCTTTCTCTCATTGGAACCTAACCGTTACTCGTTCCAGTTACACAGGTATACTGTTCTGTCCTTTGCTACTGTGTAGTGTATTTTCAAGATAGAATGCTTCTTGATTTGAGGAGATACGTGCAGCTTTCATGGTGGACATTCATGGTGCCATAGTTGGGATAACTGAAGTTACTTTGTTTCCTCTTCAGGCTGCCTTGTTACATGACACAGTGGAAGACACTGAAACCAGCTTCGAGGAGATCGAAGAACTCTTTGGCGCGGAGGTTCGCGGCATCGTCGCTGAAGTCACAGACGACAAGACGCTACCCAAGATGGAGCGCAAACGTCTTCAAGTGGTCAACGCCCCCAAGAAGAGCCACAAGGCCAAACTGGTGAAGCTTGCTGACAAGTTGTACAACCTACGTGATCTGGAGAGAGCAACTCCGGAGGGATGGACGGCAGAACGCGTGACCGAATATTTCCGTTGGGCCGCGCAGGTCGTCGAAGGGTTGAGGGGAACCAATGAGGCGTTAGAACACATACTTGACGAACTGTTTAAGGCGAAAGGAATCTTGCCTGAAACATGATGATCATTAATATGTTGTCATGATTATGTTTACCTTTGCAGAAGGAAAACATATTGTTTTTGCTCTGTTTCTTCTTTTCTTCTTCTCCAAACAAAGAAGGTCAATGACCTGAACCAGACGTCTGTCACCATGGTAACTAGTGTTGGGTTACATCATGATGCAATTTATTGCACCATATATATATGAATGTGTGTTTGAGTAAGAATTAACAGAGCAGACCATATGTGAAGGTAAACATTATGCATTTGCTTTGCAAATGTTACATTTCTAGTTCCTATGTATTTTGACTTATGTAGGATACACAATTTAGCTTGACATTTCAGCTATTCTTGTGGTTCCTGTCCTATATAAAAGGAATACACCTATGTTGTTGTAGAGCAAGGTAAACCTAGGAGTGCTAAAATATTATGTAATGTAGATTTTACACTTAGTCTTGTCAGGACCTGAGCATGTTACTCTCAGAATTCGAAGTTAAATTGGAGATTGTGTAAAGGCAGTCTGTTAGTGACAGAATGTTCTAGATGAAAAATTTGCAAATGATTTCAATAAAGGCAAATATCTGTGATTTTACAGAATAGATATAAGTTAAAAGTGTGCTGCATAAGAATGGTAGTTTAATATCAGGTGTATAGATTAAGTAATGAGAGGTGTGGCAATTTTGTTTATTGTTTTTTTAATACATTTTCCTTTAATTATTCTAAAATTTTTCCCTTAAAAATTGACTAGCATCTTATGCACATTGTTTCTGGCAGAAGTGAGATTAGGATGTAAGATGAATACTAGAAATGCTGACAAGGTGTAACCTATGAACACCCGAATAAAAGACTCATGGTCACATGGTCTGTACAGTGCTTTTTATAGCTAGTATTCACCATCTTCATATTTTCAATATTTAGGCATATTATACTTACAGGTCTGTCCAAAAAATTGCCCACTGCTATTCAGCGGTCATCTTCACAAACTAACCGACGAACACAAAAGGTCCCCTGCAGCAAGATTGGAACATTCCCTATGTCTGATTTTTAAACTTGACCTTGGTCTCATCATCAGTAACTAGTCTACCAAAAATCAGTAACATCTGCCTATCTTTGCAAGAGTTGTACTCTTCACAAACTAACCCACGAACACAAAAGGTCCCCTGCAGCAAGATTGGAACATTCCCTATGTCTGATTTTTAAACTTGACCTTGGTCTCGTCATCAGTAACTAGTCTACTAAAAATCAGGAACAATTCGGATTTACCAAAACATGGGATTTATCTATAGTGGCAATCGGCAAACTAGCACTAGCAGTGTGTCGCAAATGACCCCAAATTAGTAAGAATCGTATGTTTCCACGTAATGGATCGTATGTATTCCGTAAACTTCGTATGTTTCTAGTAATGGCCATGGGTGGTATGTATTTCGTAAACTTCGTATGTTTCCTAGTAAGGATCGTATGAATTCCGTAAAATTCTGATGAATTCTTTGGCACCCGAGTTTGCTTCAAATGGGCACGAAGATTTCATTTTGTGGCGAATGATTGTGCTTTACTATAAGTGGATGGCGTTCAGCACCAAGGACAGGCTAGGTGTATTTTTCTGTGTGTGGATGGCTTTCAGCACCAAGGACAGGCTAGGTGTGTTTTCCTGTGCGTGGATGGTGTGTTTTCCTTTGCGTGGATGTTGTCACGGTTTTCCTGTGTGTGGATTGTATGTTTTCCTGTGTGTGTCAGCGCTAAAGACAGCTATGTCTACCTGTGTGAGGATGATTTTCGGAACAAAGGAAACATATTTTTAACCACGAACTTGAAACACCTCAAAAACTTCCGTCTTTTTGCTGCCACGGAACTAAGCAACGTTCCCGCAAAAATGAACGAGTTTAGGACAACGAAAATGGGACAAAAGGTTTCGTTTAATACAGAGGCTTACAAGTCCATCGGACTTAGTGGATTTTTAAGCCCTTTAAAAAGTTTTCTAAGATTGAAGTTGTCTTCGTAATTAGATCAACGGCTTCATATTAATTAGGCACGGCTGTTCTGAACACCTGTGTATAACACATTTGGTATGGTCCATCAAAGATGGCCGTTCTTTCAACCGACAGAGATGCTTTGGCCAAAGTTTGGGATAATTTTTTGCAACTTTCCGGGTACTTTTTCGAGTTTTGTTGGTAGAATGCATTTGTAAAGAGTGCAGCAAGAGGTTTGGAAGTTTTCGTGGTGAATTCGTGCCGTTCTCGTGACGTTTTGAGGAGAAAATGCGGATTTCTTGACGTGGCCAATTCAAGTTGGAGAAGACAAAATGGCGAGGTGCAGTTGGGCATGGGAGGAGTGGCGTGGTTCGGAGACGACATCCCTTGTCTTCACAGGTAAACCAACAAATTATTTGGCTGAATTATTCCCTAGCAACTAGTAAGAACATGTTGAGTTGTATTTTTTAAGAAATGAAGAAGCTCTGCAAGTTTTGAGCGACCATTCCTGATGTAAGACAGGTTTTGAAACTGTCATTTTTGCCCCGTTTTCTTGACCAGATTTTCCATGTATTGTGTTCTTGTTGCGTAATAAATGTATGCGTATGTCATACTTATCGAGTTTATATTGCAAAGAAAGAATACCTTAACAAAAACTGTCTTTTGTTTGTCTCCACGTGGTTCAAAAACACCGGTTGGAATGTGCACGTGTACTCTCCAAGCAGAGGTTAGGGTTATTTTTGGCGTGTTTTTAGCCTTTTTTTATCAGGGTTTCTTTTTTGTACTGGAATTTTTCTTTCATCCAACCCTCTTCATTTTTTTCTGATTTAAAGAAAAGATTCTGGTTCTGAATCAATTAAAAAATGCTCATATTTTGCCCCCAACAGTCTTTTCTTCCTAGTTGTTACAGTTTTCCCATCTATCAATGCATTGGTTTGATTAAAAGTTAAAAAATTCATTGTTTAAATATCACCCCAGCCTTTTGTGTTGACTTCATGGCTCCTTTTGTAGAATATGGGACTATAATAGGATGCCTAGACCTGTTATTATTTTTTTCCCCGTCACTTCATATTTTCTATAAAAAATCCGAGAACCACCAAATTAAATTGGTGTGGCCTGACTTCCAAACATGTTGTGCTAAGTTTATCGCACATTCAGTTGAACTCGAAGTGGTTTAATTTTAGTTGTTGTTTCTATCCTGGTTTTACGTGGTCACTTAGTTTTTGTCAATGTGTTTGTCAGTTTTAAAGTAAAGAAATTCAAAGATTGATTGTGTACACTGTTAGCATGGAGAGTAAACTTTGGTCTAGGTATGGCAAACCTTGTGTTTTTCATTGTCTGAAAAATATTTTTATATTAGAACTCTGTACTTCTACCAAGACCATCAGTCGTCTTTCCATGGAAATTCCAGATGAAAATTGCAGTTCCCTAAAAATTAATCAATCAATAAATTATCGTATGTAGTCAGTAGTGATGGGGAGCTTTTTTGTGCTGTTAATATTAAAGTTGATGAGGCAAGGTGTCTTTTGCTGTTGATAGTATTCAAGAAAAGTTAACTGAATTCTTGTATACCAGTATTCGGTGGATGGTATAACTTTAAACAGCTACATTGTATAGTGATTTATAAATCATAGAAACACGTTACAGTACATGTACCTGTTCATCTTTTCCAAATCCAAAGTCAATCTATGTCTGTTATAGTAAAGTAGAAAAAAATGACCAGGTGGGAGCTGTAGAATTCCAATTTGCATCACTCTTTATTTGGGAATCTTTGTTTTCACGGATTATAATACAGTGCCACAGTACATTTGTAGGTAATACTAGTAGCTCAAATCTACCCTCCCCCTAGCACCTTAACTGTTCTGCATTGCATTGTATCTCTAAGTGTCAGCCAAGGTTCTCTTGTTGCAATTGTGAAAGCTGGTAAGCGCTGACGTCATCCGTAAAAATTACTTGCTGTGGCCTTACCTTAGTAGTAGTACAGTACTGTTTCCTCCGAAGTTGTCCGACTGCTGGGTACAGTGTGGAGGCATCTTGAGCAATACTGAGTTGGCTCCATACAACTACTTAACTCTAGCAATCTCAACATTGACTTCTGTGTAAGTAAGTCTGTATTATAGCAATGGGAACATGCCTCTCTTGGTGGCTTGTGTCAACTGAACTGCTTTAGACTTACAGGTGTTTCTGAATTTTAACAGGTGTGCTGCAGTGTAGGTGTGTACCTGATGAGACCTGACAAGACAACACAGGTGACAGAAGTGTCAGGTGAGAAAAATATGCATTCTTCACTTTGTCACCAGTTACGTATTACTATTAGTGTTATTCATGTATCACAGACTAACATATAATTATATAACTTTCTACATAGTTAGGTGTATCCTGAAGAGCAGCAGTGCAGTTGTACCTGTCTCCATCAGATGAGACCTGACAAGACACCACAGGATACCAGAGTATCAGGTGACAGAAATCTGCATTCTTCACTTCTCTACCAGTTATTTAGTGTTACCTCTTTGCCCCAGACTAACTTTTCTTTCTTGCTACATAGGTGTATCCAGAAGAGCAGCAGTGCAGTTGTACCTGTCTCCACCAGATGAGACGTGACAAGACACCAGAGGATACAGGAGTATCAGGTGAGAGAAATCTGCATTCTTCACTTTTCTACAAGTTAATGTTACCTCTTTGCAACAGACTAACTTCTCTTTCTTTCTACATAGGTGTATCCTGAAGAGCAGCAGTGCAGTTGTACCTGTCTCCACCAGATGAGACCTGACAAGATACCACAGGATATAGGAGTATCAGGTGAGAGAAATCTGCATTCTTCACTTTTCTGCAAGTTATTCAGTGTTACTGTGTGTAACATCTTTGCCCCAGAATAACTTTTCTTTCTTTCTACATTAGGTGTATCCTGAAGAGCAGCAGTGCAGTTGTACCTGTCTCCACCAGATGAGACCTGACAAGATACCACAGGATATAGGAGTATCAGGTGAGAGAAATCTGCATTCTTCACTTTTCTACCAGTTATTTAGTGTTACCTCTTTGCCCCAGACTTTTTCTTTCTACATATTAGGTGTATCCTGAAGAGCAGCAGTGCAGTTGTACCTGTCTCCACCAGATGAGACCTGACAAGATACCACAAGTGACAGGA